AATTCGAATATTTAATAGTCTGAAAATTAAAGTACAGAGGAAATATATGAATGATTTCACAAAGCATGAAAAGCAAATACCAAGAAGAAATGATATATAATGCATACACCGGCGGAATGAATGAATCACATGGATTTGGCACAAGTCATCTCTGTTGATGATCTCGGCGAAATTCTGGAAGCCATTCGCTAGGCAGGTCTACGTCAACGATAAAGGCTGTGAGAGATGTTGCTCGTGTGTGGTGTCGTCAAACAAGATTTGATTCATTGGAAACAAAGCAGCCACGAACACTATGAAAATGTCATTCTAAACCATATCACGGTCAAACTGTTCCGTCAAAAGCCTTTCCGAGTATTGAAGCGTACAAGCTTTTTTCATGATCAGCAAACATGCTCACCGCGACAAAATAATTAGCTTTGCAATTAAGCAATAACTGATGCGTATGCTAAGCTAATTCGAGATCCAAAGGAGGACATTGAAGGTTACTTTCTACACTATCAATACATTCGGCCACCGATGGTATCGAGCGTTAGAACAGGCCAAATTATGACGTCTTCATCCTGGAGTTAGAGGAGGTGATGCCGTTTCTTCCTTTCACTCTTTGAAAGATGTTGTGTCTATCCAACCGATTCGATCCATCTCATCAATGAGAGAGAATTGGCGCAAAACGGTATCCACCAAGTTGTTTTCGTATTCGATACCAATCTATTTCCGTCCAGATAGAATCTTTTCAGTACTTATTAGTCACTCTTTCTTGCATTAAAACGATCATTGCTTGACAATCGCGCTCCATCAAGGTTGACCATTCTTCGATATCACTTTTTGCTTCTATAAAAAGTAAACTTTGCTGAAAATTATTCTTTAGAATACATCTTAAATTTCCACAAAGCTGTTCATCACGCAAACACTTCTTTTACAGGCGATATTAGAGCACACGTATCTGTGCGATCCGGCATGACACGACGGCGAAAAGGCTACATGCGACAGAAAATAGATGCATGCGGGACATTCTTGAATAAATGGCAATTACGTGTAGAAATAAGCCTGCGACGCAGATAAGAAGGACGGTCTTTTTGTCAAGGGCGGCGTGTGAGCTATTGTTCAACGTCATTCAGCTAAATACTTCTGCGAAGAGCGTCTGCACTGAGATCTAAATCACATGAGGAGCAATTCCCTGGCCGACCGTCATGTCCCGCTTTTTCCCAAACAGAGTGAAACGAGACGCTGACCCGGAATTGCCGAAATCCTATCGGGACAGCGAGACTCGTCAAAATCGATTGCACATCGGACATTCGACAAAGGTACCTTGATCAGGTACAAATTCACCGTGTTCAGTCTCGCGAGACAAAAGTGGTGGAGCCTTGTAGGAAACAACGGAACAAGTGTCCAGTCAACATTTTTGTTTATCTTGCAGCTATCCTATCTAAATTATCGATAAAGGGACCTTGTTGAGGACTGTTTCGGACACGATTCGCAATTGCAACAAGAAAAAAACGGATGAAGAGCAGAGCCCATCCTGTATACACGCGCAACTTCCTCGTCACATCGACCAGAATTGAGTGTACATGCATGCCACAAGATCATCATCTCCAATGGTGGCATAGCATTTCGAAATATCAATTATTGTAAGTCTGGTTTGATTAGTAGCATCCGAGCGTTCCAAATGCAACCACGATCTTGAAGGAGCCTTGAGGTTTTGTTCAGAGAATTGTAATTTAGATGGTAAGTCGGTTTCAATGTAACTTAACAAACGGGATACATTTTCCATATTGATTTTGCTCTTCCGTGAATCTGGTATGCGAATAGCAATTCGTTCGAATCTTTGGGAATGCAGTCAATAACGTTAAACACGCTTTTTCTTATCTCAATTCGACCGTATGCCCACCTTAATGACCATTGATGTAAAGTACATCCGGTACACTGTCTATTGATTCGTCATCATCAAATGCGCTTTCTTCTTGGTTTAGCCGAACCCTAGCAGACATTGAAGTCGGTCCTTCATTTTGATCTTGTCATTCGCCATAAGTTGGTAAAGCTTAATTACATTGCGTAATCGATGATTTTGATAGTCCAACCCAAACGTTTTTGATAAAAATGCTACTTACCATTGCAAATGTAGCTGTCGTACGAATTGATGAACTATTCTCATCGTCATCACCATCGCCATTGAGCTATACGATCTAAAAGAGGAAAAGAGATACGGGTATGACGAACTACTTCGTAATATCAAGTAAATCAAAAATCACAGCACTTTCTAATAGGCTTATGTAATTTCGAAAGTCTCAATCAGATGGCCAAACTTCGAGGCAGAGGATGGAGAACTCCTGAAGGCCTACTTATTATCCGGATTTTGTTTTGGTTAACTGAAATGCCAAAAAGGCGTGTTTTTAAAAGGCCTAGGCCCTTTTGCTAGATTACTTCCCGATAGTACATGCGGAAATTCTGATCAGCACAAACGGGGCTTAATGCATTAAATACTCAAACCGAGGCTGTGTACTGTCCCTCAGTCACGCACTCCTTTCCGTGCGCTGATCAATTTTTTTCTGCTTGGAGTTTTTTAATTGTGGTGTAGGTTTCGGTCATATCTCACACCAACTTGTTCAGTAACATTTAGGCAGGAACCTGCTCGATACTAGTGTGATAAGAATCTAGCATCTCTCCATGCTACCTTTAGGACCAAAACACACGCGCAGGTGAACACGGGAACCCACACAGTTTTTTTTTTTTTTTTTTTTTTTTTTTTTTTTTTTTTTTTTAAATTTATCACCCGGATTTCTTCGCTAACCGACTTGGAGTGAAGGACCGCCAGATCTAGTCATTTTCTCTCTGAATCTTGACAGAGCAATCCCCGACATCCGTCTGCCTTTCATTTAATCATCCGTAAAGAAGACACACTCCAAACCATCAGTGTCATTCACACAATCTACTATTTTTTCCGCTTCCTTGAAAAGTCATCCTTTTCTCAATATTTTCTTTCGCGATTCTCAATTCAAGTCCGTCAAATTTTCTTTCATGTCTACCAATATCACCTCTTCTAAGACATTATCAAGCCCCTCTTAACAATCTCCGAAAATTTTGAGCGCCGATCATCCCTGCATTATCGACTTGTGCTTTGTCGCTATTTCCGGAAAATCTCGCTTTCGAAAGACTGTTAAGCATACGATACCTTAATACTTTAGGCTAATTCTATGCAAGCAAGTGAAAGCCTTTTTGCGCTTCAAACAAGCAAACCCCATTCAATTTGATCCGTGCTTTTCTCTTCATGATTGGATAAGGCATTAACAGTACGAGATTAGTCATGAACTCGTTCCACAGGACCAGAAAAGGTACTGTAAGTCCTCATACGAGCAATGAAAATGCCAGCAGCTCTCACGAAAAGACGAGATCAACGATCGAGAAATTCAGAAATCGATCTTCTTCTAAGTGGTCTTTTGAAGCTCCAACATCGTCGAGAAGTTTACCAAGAGATCATCAATGGAGTCAATCAAATACATATGCCAGATCTGATTTTACAAAGAACAGAAATTCTTTTCTTTCATCATGTTCATTTCCTGGGTTTTCTCATAATTTCCCACATCCATCTCAAAAGAAAGTTTCTTCGGTATATACGGGTAGTGAAGCAAGATATACTTCAGAACGAGAGCATGCAAACAGATCGCAAAGAGGTGGACAAATTTCAACTTTTAACACAAGCACGATCGAGTATAGCTCATCAGCTCAAGAAGCACCAGTGCCTCTATTTGATCCGCTTATGCTGATGGATCGCAAAGCAGAGCCAAGGTGAGTACAAGACGCATCCACTAATATTGTCGAAATTCGTACTCATCCTCTTCCCGGTTAACAAAGAACCTATGATCTTATCATACGACGATCAGCTATTCACGGTCAAGTGTGTACTTTTGGCAGTAAAGGACGAAGGTTGTTGGATCCATTCCCGATCGTTCAATTGGATGTTCGTGATAAATTTGGAAAGCGTGATGTAATGGGACAATCAAGTCCATTATTTCTGATGCAAGTGAATCTGATCGCAGAACAGATCGAAAAGGGAGGAGGGGGAATTGGTAAAAGAAAAAGGGTCTCTGAACTTAATGAAAATGGAAGTGTAAGTCAGAGGTCGAAAGAAGTTCGTCAAGACCTTTGCTCTACATCAAACAACAGCGCAAATATCAATCGAGTAGGTTTACTTGGTTCTGCCTCGTTCTTTGATTCGACAAGAGGGACAGCAACAACCAAAAGGGATCAGAAATCCAATTTAGGTTCACACTCTCTACCGAAATTACGCGAAACGTCCTTTTCAGCTTTACGTTTATTAGAAGGCAAGTTGATCGCATCTCCTTATATTTTGAAAGATTGCGACGGTATTCCAGATATCCTAGATACCCAAGGGAGAAATCGATTCGATACGCAAAAGAGACACAAAGGAGAAAGCAATCTTAAAAGGAGACATTCGAAACCAGTATGTTCTTCAGCAATCGCCAAAGAAGCAGCGGACGAGGTACAAGAAGATCAAAGAGCATTTTTTTTCATCTTCGCAGATCTAAGTATTCGTTTACGCGGAACATTTCGGCTAGAGTTCTCATTAATCAAATTAGGACCACGCTTTTCTTCGACTTCAGCCCGCAAAGCAGCAGTAGGGGGCGAAATTGTTGCAAAAACGATCTCGGAACCATTTCAAATGCATCATGCAGAAGATTTTGCCGGAATGACAAAATCAACACCTCTTGCAAAATCACTAGCAAGTCAAGGCGCCCATATTCCTATAAGAATGGATTGACGTTTAATAAGAGGACGTTCACAACCACCGCAATAAACGAAAAAGATATTATATTAAACTCAACAGAAACGTAAATTTCTTACGAGTAGTACACATATTTTGCCTTCTTCTGCAAGTCTTACTCCAGCACGATCTAGCAGTCCTTCATAATAAAAAATATGACCGCATTAAAAGCTCAGCTTAAAAGTAGTTTTGTTCTATCAGTGATCAAGGCCCCATACTGTCGAGGCAATCAAATTCATTTCGTCAACAATCGACGTCCCCTTTCCGCTTGTACTTGGGTTTTTATGAACATCAGAGTAATGTGTTCACATACTGTTTTCTTTAATGGTTGCAAGCAAATTCATCGCCATCTCAAAGAAAAAAGGGCCATTATACTTACATAACATAGTACATGGATGTAAATGAAATTCCAGCTGAAACAGGATTCCGTGAACGTTGTACAGCATTTTTGAAAAGGAGACGATTAGTTTGTTTAATTTTTAATGAAAGAGAGTCGAAAAGGAAAAGGAGAAAGGAGAGCGGGATTGAGAGGTTACTTGGACGAAAGCGTTAATTACCTCAACAACCACTTCGTATACACTTATTTTTATTGGTTTATTGTACAAAATAAGGCTACAAAAGCTTCAAAAAACTTCCAGCAGAGAGATGATGACGTGCACGATAGCCAGGGCAGAAGCGTTGGTGATAGCAATCAGGATGAAAGCAGTTTGCAAATTCGAGCGCAATGGCTCATATTGGCATTCACATGATTCCAAAAGAAACTTAGCGCTAGATCAGCGAATGTTGTATTGTGCACTTCTGTGACTTGGTCTTATGCGGGAGAAACAGCGTGACGGGAATAAGTTGGCAAGTTTGTAAAGCAATGTTGAATTAGACTATCAATTTCCAGAAATATACATTGTAATGAAAGAAAAAAAGAAAGAGATTTAAAGCAAACTTTCAGTTCAATCGACAATATATAGTCTGATCGTAATCAATGCTCGAAAATCAAAATAAACTGAAAAGCGTCAGAAGAATAAGATTTTTTTGGTTGTGAAAATAATGTGAAAAGCACGCAACTGAATCTTTTGAACACTTGTATTCGTGTTGGAAAACGACAATCCATGAGGTATTTTGAACTTTAATCTCTGAGAGAAAGAGCACGACTACCGATCATGAATTGAAAGAAAGAATACAACAGCAGCTCATTGCTTACTGCTTTGATTTTCTAGAAGAAAGGCATAAACAGATATACGTCATTGTTTCTAGCCCTATGGCTACAAATTTAGCTATGCCTCATACACATCTGGAATCAAATCTTGGAGCGGGAGGGATGCTATTTAGACTAGAATAGCATACCTAGCTTTGTAGATGTCGTGTAATTCCATTACCTAGTATGGCAGAAACCTCACGGAATCCGTTAACAGGTCTGTATTTGCGACGACGAATTTTACACCAAAAATAACCAATGCCTGCAAAAATCTTTCCGGGAAATGACTGAGTTGGTTTTCTAGATAGCGTAGTCGGAACGTACTTTGTAAAGCTTGTCAGTTTGATGGACAAGATCACGATACCGAATCAGAATTAAAGACAATAACTGAAGTATCGATCTTAGAAGTAACCGCATCTGGTCGTCGGGAAGCAGGCACAGTCTTTATGTATCGACTATATCACTCAAATAGTGATTCTACTCCTACTGGAGAATAGATGCTTCGAAGCACCTATGAAAACATTTCTCACATGTTCGCACTCCGAAAGATTCTTGACCTGCAATATAGGCAAGGAAAAAAAAGAAACGAAGCGAAGAGCAAGCTTATGCAAAAAGTCCGACTATGGCCTGAGGTTTTCGTAGATGATGAAAGTTTGCTCGCAAAGAGACGGATACTTTTGGATCATTTTTTTACGATGCCTTAGGCTTCCAATTTTCATGCTCGTCGAACGTTCGTTGGCTATTTCTGCAGCAATATGTATTCTCCCTATCTCCAATTGTTTCGTAGCTCGCTTACTGAAGAATATTGGCTGTAGATGCCCTTGTTGTGCGAAACGTTCAGTTATCGACAGAGCACAGTACACAATCTTTAGTAATGAACTGACGCTGCAGCCTAAATTATTTCTCGAATTTAGACAAGATAAATATCATATAATCAGTATACTATAGATAAGTCAATCGACTCATTATAATACTGCTTCGAGACGAATGACACCGCTCTTTCGCTCACGTAAAATAGTTTCTTTAATACATGCAATGTAGGCAACATTATCCCCCTCCTAAAAAAATGTCACAATTGTTGCTTGGCGTGAGTGACGTGCTCGTGATTATTCGCCATGGTCGAGAATAGTCGGTAGAAGCAATACTTTACGAGACAATACCATACTGTTGGCTCTAACGGGGCTCGTCAGCTTGCAATGAATGCATGTTAGAGGTGAAGATAGAGATCGATTCAATTTCTTTTCGTTCGTTGTTGAAAGCTTCGAGATGATCATGACTTTCTCATTTCACCAAAGGGAAAGTACTAATTGCGTCTAAGCTACAATTTTGATGTGGCAAAGAAAAGTTCCATTCTTTCTGGTATTTCTACAGTTGTGTGATTTTTTTGCAAGGCATATGTATGATCTCCAGATAAACTTCCTTCAGCTACTACATCTCGGGACAATGGGCTAGCATTGGCCGTACTTCTGACACTGCAACTCCCGGTATTCAGAATATTCTCTTATGATTCCGCAGCAAGACTTTAGACCTACAACTGCTGACTCAATAGCATCTTTGATATAAGACGCAATTAGAATACAGTCTTCAGCCCTTGAGAAAGTCTGGTCCCCTTTCACGCTGGCCTGCGGTGTCCAGAATCGGTCTTGATTTCCGCATACACAGATACTTCTTCTTGCTGTTGAGCGTCAAGATTCATTGCCGAAGACTCTAGGAACAAAGATATTTGATTCTTCCCAGAGTGATCCGTTCTTTCTTGCAAACTTACCGTAGGAGTACCGCAACTACTTTTATCTGGATACAAATACGCCTTTGACCGTCTAGAATTCCTGCTGTGATGACGATGAGATTTGGACCATTGGTGCGAAAGGATAGGTGACGCGATATGAAAAATGAGCAACGAAGCAATATTACCGCTTTCTTTTCTCTTACCTTTCGAAATGCACATCATGTGCCAAAGCTAAAATCGACCTTCGCTTCAGTAAGCGCAAGCGCGAAAAAAACAATGCATGAAAGCTAGTAGGGATTTTGCCTTGTTTTCATACGGGTGGTCTAGTAGTGACCAAAGAAGGGTGATCACTATCGTATAGAAAGACACGGTGTCTACAGGTACGAATCAATGGATTTTTTCGAGATTGTCGATGCCCTTACCATTTATCAAATCACACTCCACCAAGCAAATTCATTACATAACGGCTGCATATATGTGACAGGAAAATTTGTTCGCTTCTTTCTTGCTCCTTGACTTTGCAATGTCGTCATTTCGTATTTACTTGCGTCTAATGAATGTGACTTGCTTTTCTGTCATCGCCACATTCATTTTGTAATACATACGACACAATTTTGGCGCGATGCGATCGCAAGCACATACAAAACCACAAAGAAATTGAATCCGTTTCGCAGATAATCTAACGCGCTGGCGAAATACAGAGTCCTTCCCAACGAATGTTCGCGAAAGTCTTGCAAAGGCAAAGACGGCTTTACCGATAAAGATCTGCGATCGTAGACACGGGCTTTTTGGCAGGTGCAATCAAAGTTGTCGAGGTACGCAAGCGTGTGCTTGTCACCTTGATTGATTTCATTGCTAAACTTTCCATATTCTGCCTTTCTAGCAGTAGGCATACTGCGTGCATTTCTTTTTACACCGTCTTCTAAGATGTTTTTGATACTTATGTGAAAGGAACAAAATCTAAAGCGTGAGGCCGAAACGCGATTCTTTCGTGGCTTTTGGAATTTTTTTTCGAAATGCTCTGTACTGATGCTGCTGATATCGCCAATATGCCTCGGGTCAACGTTGCAAAGTATGGTCGGTCTCTTACTTGGTAAAAATTAGATTTCAATTAAACAGATGTGTGGCAATCTCCGTATGAAAAGTGCTTCGGAAGGATCACTTGCGAGATCATGAATGAAAATCTGCTGCGCGGATGAGAGTGAGGATAAGACTCAGAAACTACGCGAACAAGATAGCTTTGCTCTACTTATTCAAATGTTTAGTCTTCTTCGATAAGAGGCCAGTACAGGGAGACTTGACGCTCCGTTCGATAATATTTAAAGACCACCGCTGTGTACCATTGTTATGATATCAGCTTTTCTCAATCGTTCATCCATAACAATTTCCGTGACCCTCCGGCAGAAATACAGCAAAAGATATGAATTGCTTTGTCTCGTTTTTTCCCTTTGTACCGCGCGTTCCGAATCTAAATCCCCTTTGTTCTCTTTGTTTTCAACAAAGACAATCTTTGTCTTCCTTTGTTCCCAATTCCCACGCATGGCCCCTCTTTGCATGAACAGCAATCGCCGAGGATCAGAGTTGAAAAGTACTTAGTGCGAAATAAGTCTTTCAGTCTCGTTCCCCGTCTGACGAAAAATTAAGACATCATATCAAAAAAGTTTTTGCGGGATTTATAACATTTCATGAAGGGTATGATGGATGTGCAATACGTCTCCAAGCAGCATTTGCACGAGTCGATGATAACGCGAAATACCAGCGCGTTTTAGCCCCGGCTTCAATGCATATATGATCGATCCTGTTTTATATTCCTTTCCTACTGCATTTTTTTCTTTTATCGTTTCCTAATGCATTCCTTTTTTTATCGTTTCCTACTGCATTTTTTTTATCTTTTATCGTTGAGCGCGCCGTTGGAATGTGTTTTTGCATTTTCCTTTTTGTACATCTTTTGTATTTGATCAAGATTCGGACCCGCACGAGAACCCTCGAGCTCTGGCAAGCACACATCGGCGGTAGTGCCATTCTGCAAGACATGGATCCAAGTACTCGCGCGACTGCACTCTCATAGATTGTAGGTACTATAACCATCCCGTGCAACAATCGCATCTTCTCATCTTCCAGCGCAAAAAAGTACGGATAATACTTTCCATCCTAGATCAGGGGCATGTGTCAGAAGGACTTTCTTTCCCGAAGCGAAGATAGCTTCGGCATGGTTCCTTGACTCACTTTACAGTACCAACTCCATATGTATCGATCGTATTAGTGTTGAAACGTTGTCTATTTGCAACGCAGTATTGCAAAAGCAAGCAAGCGGAAAAGAAGTAAATTTCAAATACAAATACTGATCGGCCACAATTGGTGTGGAACTGCGCATGAGCAATTCAAAGCGGACGAACTTTTACCCCTCGTTTTTTTCCCTTTCGCGTTCCTATCATTTGTGCAAAAAATCTAAAGATCTTGGAAGTGGTTATAAGCTAATCCAGAGAACTCCGAAAACCATTTCGCAGATGTTGAATTTCGATACCATCCGCGAGCTTGCCGGGATGCAAATCTGAGCAGGTAAGGTGGAGTTAAGAACGGTAGGACCATAATCAATGACAGGAGGCAATTGAAATTAGTGACGAAACGTCCTTATTGAAAGAATGACTTCATCGATCATAGACAGTAGGGATGGAGAGTGTTGAGTTTATGGAGAAAGAGACAATAAAAGAAGTTGAAATGTAGACGAAAATGTTGTTTTTACCCCTTCAGAAAGAATTGCAACATGCAAAACCACGAGAAAGTGCGCGAGCTACCTAGCACCAAATCAAGGCCCATTGATGTTCATCTTGGAAAGTTCATCTTGGAAAGTTCATCTTGGAAAGTTCATCTTGAAAAGTTCATTTTTGCAGTACTTCTCCAATAGAAAAGCGACTCCATAGATATTTTGTCCATTCTTTTGACAGTCAAGTCTTCGCATTGGGCTAATGTTTCCACTCCAATGAGGGATCCCATGTGAAAATATTTTCTCGCCCTTTCGAGCCGCTTTAGCAAGGACGACTCATTTGACTGCTTACAAAGCTTGAGCAAGTGCGCTTGAACAATGGGATATGCCTCACGATGAAATGTCTTCGACGTCACTGGAACGTCAAGAGATGGCAGGAGCTCGAAAATCCATTGAGCATATGCTTTACCTAGATGAAAGTACGCACGTCTTACCTTCTCGCGAGCCTGAGAAAAGTCGACTTCTGCAATTGATAGCTTCTGTAAATGATACTTGACAAGCTCACCTGCGCTTTTTTCTTGGCCATCTTCCGGTTGCAGGAATCTGCCTGCCTCTCCGGTTTTTCTTGAATTTTCCGTCTTTATTAATTTCGTCAGCATCTCAAGAAGTTTGAATGCTCTAATGTTTTCGGCTTCTTTAGATGAAGTTGGCATGGGATCTGCAAATGCTGTCCCCTTACGTTTTCTGGACTTCCCGTTTTGTTCTATAGATCTGACATAAATCTACAAAGAGGCAGTCAGTTCTTTTGTCTGCTCTGCGGTCCTTCACCAATACTCACCTCATAAGAAACACCTTGGTACTGGATGATCATGGCGGGAATCTGGTCCAATCTCAGGAGATTCTCTTGTAACAGTGCCTCACAAAATGCTCGATACATCAATGCCACTTTGTTCGGCGTGTGTGACCCATCTGCTGCTTGAACATACGCAGCAACAGATGTCACGAGACTATCTATCCCAGTGGTCTGATAAAGTGTTTCTTGTCTAGGAAGGTAGATGCGCGTGGTCATCTTGAAAATGATCTGGTTGGAGGAGATGATGGTTGTTGAGATTCACCGATCAAGCAGGGTGCTTTGAGCAGAATTCCCTTTCATATCGCAAATTTATATGTGAGTGCGTTGCTGTGGAACTGAACTCTACTTCGCAATCAAAAATGGAGAGTGCGGCACAAAGGTATATCAAACCCCAATGTTTCTGCACAAAGGGATATTAAGGAAAAGACACATCGCGTTTGTATTTTCTCAGCTTGTCTTGTCCGAAAGCATTACCCTTTCCGAAACAAAGGGATAGTGTTGCACACGCAAGGGCATGATGAACCCGTGCTTAGCGTGTCAGTTCAATCGCTGCTCAGTGAGGCCTTTAGCTTTACTCATTTCAATTTTGGTTGCATAGATAAAGGGAGGCAGCCGTGAGAAAGTAAGAAAAGTCTGTAGAGAATCCTGAACTTGAGGGTTTGCAGCGAATGTGCCGAGCTTTACAGATATATTACATTTGCCGAAGATAGGCATATCAATTGCTGATCTGAGCACCGTTCTGACAATATCATTGCCTTTAAGAGTAAGGTCGTACGGAATGATGGCACTCTTGCTTTCTAATTTAATTTAAGAACCCCGATGAAGAAGTAAATGGAGAGCAGTGCAATTTCAAGATGCACGTGCACAGTCTCATGCCCATTTTGATGACTTGATGCCTTTGCAGCCAAATGACGCGTAGCGAAGAATCATACGGATCCATCACAAACCTAATCTTTGTGCCCATCCAAGGTCTAATCATGGCACACCTATCAAAAATCTAATCAAGTAAGCGCCCACTCTTTTTGCTATACTATGTATGTACAAAAGTAAATCAGATACTAGAATGCATATACTATAAAAGACCTGGCTTTGAATTGGACAAATTTTGATGCATTCAACGTAATGTTTGCTCAAATGAATTGTAAAAAGTTTCGTCTCATTTCTTGCATAGGCGAGGGTGCTTTTGGGATAGTGTACCAAGCAATCAATCTCCAGACAAATAATGTGAGTAATCTTTCACACTGAAGGTTTCTTTCTGTCTCATTTTCTTTCCAATCTTTAGAAAGTTGCAGTCAAATGCATCAAAACAAATCAAGCACTTGGTGCGCTGGAAAATATGAAACGGGAAGCAAACATTCACTCTACGCTGGAACATGTGAATATTGTCGCATTAAAGAGTTTCGCACTCCAGAACAATTTTTACAATTGGAATTAGAATTATGCGAGCAAGGCACTTTATGTGATTTTCTCTTTTGCAAACAAAACGTGTGAATGATGTAGTGATAAAAACAGTTGAAGCTATTGAATTAAGTCTTTTTGCTCTTTATGAAGTTACCCTACTATTAGAAATAAAATTTGCGCTCAGCTTTGTTCGGCTGTTCACTATCTTCATGAAGGCGCTTTAGCAAATGACTCTGTGATTCATCGGGACATCAAACTAGAGAATGGTAAGAGAGAATCTTCCTGCGCATGATACGCAGCCTCATTGACCCTCTTTTCCTTCATCCAGTTCTTCTTACGCGGGGAATGCAGATTAAACTGGGTGTTTTCGGACTTGCTATCTCAAAGCCTCGTGATAGTGTCGGCAGATGGGGAATAGCTGGAGTGAGTCCTAAATGAATTTCAAAATCAATGGTCTGTTCTGACTGACATTTTTTTCTGCCCTCTCCGATGTGAATCTCAAGACAAAAGATTATATGTCGCTTGTGCGTACTCTTCGTAACTTCTCTATGGTTGCCCATTATATTGACTTTTTCTTCTAAAAAATCCAGGAGATGATTCGTGGTCTCAAGTATGGAAAGAAAACAGACTTATGGTCACTTGGTATTTTACTTTCCAAGATCTGGACGTGGCGGTAAGCATTTTTTGAAAGACTTTGAATACAAGGAGAAAACTCATCTTTTACTTTTACAATTCTATATTACTTTTCAATGGTCTAAGGGCGTATCACTTGAGAAATCGGTTGCCGCTATGCTTTCAGAGCCTTTGAGCGTTGATGTGTCTCAGGTGCCGGCGCTATTTCTGCAAATAGACGTAAGTATAAGATTTCTGTTTTCAGTCTTTATGCTTACATTCTACCTATATTCCTTCATCGAAAAGCCTATTTCACGACGCGAAGCAAGTACGCCTTTGGCATTTTCATGGATGTTGGAAGCCTTGATGCACAATCATAGTAGGTGAGTATATTGAAGGTCACAAGTGAGCACACCGCTGATCTGTATGTCTATGTTTTAAGTCACATAAAGCTTTTATCAGGCATTGAAGAAGACGGTAGCGATAAATCTTTTCAATCAGCAAAGAGTGAGAAAGATTCTGAACTCATGTGAGTGTAATCGAAAGGATTTATGCTTCTTCTGACATGTATACTAACATGTATACTAACGTTATCATGCTGGCTTTTGAAAAGATTTCCTGAGTTCACCTTTCTAGTCAAGCATTGAATAGCCTGTCCAGGGAGTTTTAATGCTAAGAAATGGTGCGCACTGCTTGCAATTGGAACATACAAGGATGCTAAAAGCTTGGCTATTACTACCCATGCCCTAGCAGATGGCATCGAAGACTGGTCGTCAACTTGTGTTTCACTTCGGACACAGTACAAAAGAACACAATGTTCGAGCAGATACTCTCCACAGCATGTCAAAATCTTCTGATTGTAAAATTCTAGATTTTGCAAAAATTTGATACTGATAAGCTTCACTTCGAGATATACCTGAAGACTGAACGATAGAAGATGATGCATTATGATAAAGAGCTAGCATCATTCTCCTTTGCGATAAAATTGCCTACACTTTCGCGCGAAGATCAATCTGTCGTGCAGCGTTCCTATGCCAGAAAGCGTTACTAAAATCAGCTTCCTCCTCACCGTATGGTTTTTGAAGGAAAGTTTTGTCGAGAAATATTATTTTCGGCCTTTTTCTGTTTTAATGCAATAAATGATGATAATAATCCACAACGAAATTCAAGTTGCATTTTCGGTTTGTATACACTTGTCACATTACGTTGTGCATCTTCCTGATCCGTGCTTCAGGCTGATACTATAAATGACAAGAACACGCAATTTGTAATGGAAGTAATTCTATGACTGTGACACATTTTTTGGCTTCCACGATACTCGGCTATACTCTCTGTGTGCCTTTTCGGATCTTCGAGGATGCCTTTGTCAGTCGTAGATGGTGTTTAATGCAAATGTTCATTTGTGGTCACTCACGGGACACATCAGGCCGTATTCTCACACTCTCTTCAGGATGATTCGCAGATGGAACAGCACATCGGTGTATTGCTCGAAATTTGCCTTTTGTTGCTTTGCGATCAAATCACAATAAGAAAAAACAAAAGCGAAACGAGGACAAAGGAGAGATTGGTTTCCTTAACATTGCACTCAATCACGCATGGGATTTCCAAACAATTTTAATCAAAAACCTTTGTTCTTTGAAATCTTGACAAAAGGAAATGTTGAAATGAGATTTGGGTGGCGCGTTCCTTTGTTCACCATTTAGATACAGATATTTTAGCAGAAAGTGGCCTCAACATCACACACTGCTGCACATGTTCACAAAGGGAGCGAAAGGAATGGTTTTCGCGAAGCAATTCATCCCCTGTCTTTAGAGAAGATGATGTAGAAAGGTCACAAGATGATGCAGAAAGGTCACAGCGGACATCTGTCCGAGTGTGCGTTTAATTCTTTCCCTCTCGCTCACTGAAGTATGAGGATAGGGCGTAAAAGAGGAGGGACAAATGCAAAAATAGTGAAAAGATGAAACAATGGCACGGTCTCCGCATATTGGAGACTTTGATCTTGCAAGAAGAAAGGGACATAAGATCATAACAAAGGTAGTGTTTGCAATAACAAGCTAGCATAAAGTTTTCGTTGTCCAATATGTTTTGATGGTCCATATAAAGAGTGTGCAATTATCGTTAGAGTCTTCTCACAACACTACTAACACACCAAATTCACTCATTTCCGCATAGCTTTCCTCTATCACCAACACAATAATACTTCACCGCTTTCCACACTTCACGCTGCATTCAGCCATGGAGAGACTGTCCGAAGAAGACGAGAATAAATTCTAAGTTGAAGATCTCCATGAAAACGATAATCATAATACATTTCTGGATTCTGTTGTTGTTGATGAGGTCAGTGAGAATGAAACAGACGACGCTGAAGATGATCACGCAGGGACAAATCCGGTTTCAAAGACTTTTGCCGCAGTGCAACGTCATTACGAGCCGCTCGTTTTGGGCCAGAGCGGCTCTTTGAGAGCAGCAAATTGCAATTCAAGACTAGGACCGTGCCAAATAGCAGACAACACCAAGGCGAGGCGATCATCGAAACTATCCGATTCGCTACGCGCAAACTTCATCCAGATGGCCAAATTGAGTATTAATGTTCAAGTGTCTTCCGCCACATAAGTCTTCGACGCGTCTTACAGAGGCGGTAGATAGGGCGTTGAATGCTTTTGCACGCCTTTCGAATGGCTATCCACACTTGCCAATGAGTCTTGCGCTTATGGAGGATAACTCTGTTTGTGATATTTTGCAATCTGGCATCGAGACCGCGAAATTCTTTTTCCACACTTTGTCAGATTTTGCAGCGTCATTTCTCAACCGTGTTTTGAGAGGAGAGACTTTGTCTCTTTCGATGCGAGAGAAAGCCGAAGTTAAGGCCTACAACAGTAAGTTAGGGACGGCAGGGGGTACATACCTCGTACTGACGACGAACAGGAGTAACGAAGTAGCGGGAGTCTATGTTGGGTGAACAAACTCATTGCAAAGAAGAATGAAAGATCATCAAATCAATCTTGCCATCGCAACGCATACCTCAGATTCTTTTGCGCACATCGAATCGCATTTCTATCAATCTGCGGCCCGCGAGCTTCATTACGGCGGAGAGCTGTATTTCATCCCGGCAAACATTTTTCCCGTAACATCACAGGGTGAGTTTTCCCTAAACTTTTTCGCAGAGCTTACCCACTTTTTACTCACACGAGCTTTTCATTACAATCGCAATAGACGCACATGACCATGTTGCAGTATTTGAAGCCTTGCTCTCTTGTATCACAGGCAGTTTCCAACTAAAGAAGCATTCTTGGAATTTCGGGCCGGTTTTGGTATGCCACTGGTCAGCTTCATTGGTTACAACTTCACCCCTTGTATGGAGAGACCGGAACGCTTGAACCAATACGCAGAAAATGTTGCAAACCCCACCCTTTCGCCAATGCTACTTGAACTCCGCAATTTGTATCTTCGATACGGTTTGACCTGCTCCCGCAAGCAAGACCACGTAAGTATTTTGGTGATCACCGAATAGTGAAAGTAAATTCTAATATTTCTCTTAAAAAAATAGTCGCGCTCTTGCTGCACGGAATGAAGATCAAAAAAAGGAGATCGAGCAAGACTACCGCCACAAACATGCTGCATATATGATAGAGGTCGTAAGATTGCTAAAGAAAGGGTGAGTATTACGCAAATAGTTGCTGTGCTTATAAATGACAGATGCCAATATTTTTCGACTTCTAGCGAGTACCAGTTGAGGCTGGTGAGAACACAGAATCGTAAATCGAGAGAAGCGTGCTACAGGTGGATAACAACCAATTTGGACAACTTCCCATTACCACGAAAACAAATGGAAAACATATTAAAGGTAAAAAACTCGAACTTTTAGAAGAAAGGCAAATAGACAAGATTAAAGCTAATAAAGCTATGAATGACATCCGCTTGCAGGCAGCAAATGTCAGTAACGATAGTGAGTTGCCCTTATTTGTCTCTCTTCAATTGCTTGTAGGAGATCCAGATTCAAAGGTGAGTCGATTAACGTCGAGAGCAAGCGGCTAGAAATATCAGCTTATACATTACAATCTTTGATGCCAACAGAGTGACGTATTTTTCGGCCTTTCACAAAAATACCGTGAGATATATGGTTGGTTAAAGCTTTATCTGAAAGATTTAGATGCGAGTTCAGTATAAGTCGAACTGTGCGGGAAGTAACAAAGGAACGAAAATAAATTGTTATTCTTCTTTGAAAGCTCTTTCTGCAGTTCGAAACTGTTTTCCATCGAAGAAAATGGCAAGTGCGTTTGGCAGAAAGGTTGCTTCATTGCTGCTCTAGCAAGGAAGCTGACAGACGTTTGTAAGTGCTTTCAAGAGAAGTAGGTTTAGTAAGCTTGAAACTCAATCTTTTTACTTCTTTGCGAGTAGTACCATTCTGAGAGATCAGCAGAAAGTGTCGTCATGCATTGTGACTCAAAACAGCGATTACAGAGAGTTGATCGAGGGCGATCTTCCGATTTCAGTACAGGGCAAGACTGTCGCTGTGCGTCCAAAGAATGAGGAGGAAATCACAGTTCCGGTGTCACCGCAGACAAGAAAGCACTTAGAACAAAATAAAGGGAAGAAAGAATTTGTAAGTCTCATTAATAAGTAGTTGACGCTTTTTTATTCTAACTTTCCTGCTGCTCTAGTATTTTAACAAGCTTGTATTCGGCTCTTCCTGCCCTTTGTGGGATGGTACTAGCTTCTCAGCAGAGGTAAGCGCCCCTCTCAAAGGAGTGGGCATGTCGCTATATTCCACTACTTTGAATACATGGGTTCCAATATCAGCGAATTTTCGCTTTAGAGAGGTCGTCTCGCGTTTCACTGTATTTGCTGGCCAAGCAGCCATTATCGCAAGACAATCGCGCACGTTTGACAACGACCATAAAGCTCCAAACCATACTTCCGAGGCTAAATCAGACGATGAAGAAGATGTTCCAGAATGCCAAATTTCCAAAAGAACTTTACCCTTAAAAGGATAATCGCCAAGGATTGGTGTACGAGGTCAAAGATCGCCTACAATCCTCATTCCGAGAAGGATGTTAAGGATGTGGTTTCCAGATGGAACCTACCGGCAAGGTCTTCCACTCTCTGTAAAAATTGAAGCTAAGAGAGCCAGATCACCTGAAGAGGTGAAAATATTTCTTCGTCTTGACAGCACAGGACAAAGTGACAATGTAGGTAGATGGTGTAATGCGCTACGATATGCAAAAGGTGGTTTGCCTCCGGCGGCAATTTGGCGCTACATTCAGGAATTACAAAGAGAAATGCGAAATCTTGATGAAGAAGGTCGAGTCGAGAAGATGTTGTAGCCCCATAGCAAAGGTTTGAAATAAAAAAAAGTCCAAAATGTTCCCAAATGGAGTTCTCTTCCTCAGTTTGTGCTATTTGTAACCCAGGAAAAAATTGTTACTTCTTGCACGTCTAGCTAACTGTCGACAAAAATACATCTCGCTGCCCAATACAAACTTTGGCCCTTTTCTGATGGAAAAATGTTTCTACCAGTACTGACTGGATGACATGTGGTGGGTAAATGTATGTTGTAAGCATAAAAAACGCCTCAAAATTAAGTTCTTCCGACGGTGAATCGATTTGAACGTGGGCGTCAATCGCTTTAGCGTATAGTTTTCGTATTGTATTTGTGCAGTGATTTGCGTCTGGTAGACATGTGCGCCCTTTTATAAAAGAAAATGGGACCCTTCAAAGACACGTCGTTGTCTTTGTATAGGAGGTCTGCCATTGGCGGGTAACCTCATGATTCATCATGCGACTGAATAGCTAGTCCCCATAAAAAAGATCATTTACATCATTTTCCATCGTCCTCCTTTTTTGGCTTATTCAAATTTCCACCGCGTCGAGCTTCTTCAGCTTACCCGCGCATGAACCCTGAAGCAAGGCAACAACAGTTCCCATTGCACCTCCACGCAAAACAAGAGAATGGGCATCTATCATATATGATGATACTGAGATGATCAGTAATGAATATGTTGCATGTGTTGCATGTCTTAAGATTTCTTGTTGCTAGCTTATCTTCTTCTAACCCTATCCTTGAATAAGTCGTGCACTTGTATACGATTCCGAGTGATACAAGAGGTTTGGAATCTTATCTACATTTATACTAGGAGATGTAAGCTGTCAAGAGAAGAACCCTTAGAAAAGCCAAGTCATTACTAGGTACGTGTAAGCAGTTCATTGATGATCCTGCATTAGTGGCAGGATAGCAGTTCCGATGATGAGTATCTACCAGATCCTGAATTGCAACTTGTGAAAGGAATTTCATCTTCCTTCTCGATCGACGAACAAAGCAGCACAAGATTCACTGACCAAAGCAGAAAAGTTTGCAATACTGTTGAGAAGTAATGATCACTCTATGCTAAAGCCGAAAACTTTGAAAATAGTATGTGAAAAGTATTGAGTTGCTGATACACCCGTCATTTGAACCAAAAATTGTAAAATGGTACCGAGTAACTTTTACGGAACGTTTGGCGATGCGTCCCTTTCTCAACATGCAGCTTAAAGTATAAATGAACACGCCTCGATATTATCGCCACATTTTAGTAAGAGTATGTTGTAAAATAGAATATAGCATTTGTATCAACCCAACATGGACCTAGAAGTGTTGGATACTGACTTATAAAACCATGTATGTCATAGAAATGGTGTGGTTCATTGGCTGCAATGAGTCTAAAACAGAGTCTTTTTGCAAAATTTGTAGACGGACATTGTGGCAGTGCTTCACATTAGCAATTACATTGCTGTTAGAGGAAGTGGAAAATAAAAAAGTTGCGCCTTGGTTAATGAAGAATGGATTACCAACAAAATTATGACTGGCTTTCGTGTAAGATATTTTATCACGTGGCTTCCTGATGGTCGTTTCGTTATCACGCTTATTTCAGCAGCGCCAGCTCTCATCATTACAATGTTTATTTCTACTTCTTTTTCTAGTTCGCGAGAAAGTTTGGACATTTAGACTTCTACACATTTCAGTGATAATTTCTGTCAAATTCAACGCTATATTCAAAACATGCAAGAGAAGCCGTTTTGTAAGCTCTTCAACATAAACACTACCGCCGTGTGTGAGAACTCAGACTATTATTCGAAATCGAGAGCATTCGTAAAGACAGATTGCAGACGCATAGAGACTACGCATTACTTGAAAAAATATAATGACTCAGCGTCTTCAGCCGAAATACTTTTTATTTAAAAGGTAAAAAAGTGAGAAGAAAGGCATAGGCCTGTTCGCTATCCTGGCATCCTTCTCTTCGGAGGCACAGATCCGTCCGGGAAAGAAGTGGAGATGCTACGAACATTATGTCGCTGTGAGGTAGCTCAGAAAAGCCTCTTCAGAACTGATATACATAAATGAATGCAGAGAAGATACAGCAGTAGAAAATTACAGTAGCAGGGGCAGAAGGCACGAATCCTGACTTCGTGCTATGTACTTTAGTAATTATCCAACCAAAATTTTCAAATTGAATTACTTGATTCAAAGCATACGTTTGGCCATCAAGTCTTGCGACTTCTTCACGAACCACCAAATTAGAAATGAGTCTAATATCGCACAAATTGATCTCTTTGCACTTACTTTAGACTGCCTTTGTAACATAAGTATGAGTAGGATTTTGAAATATGGATTCTATTTCATGCTTCGTCCTGCCGGAAAAGATATCAGGAATGGTGCACCTTTTCAAATCAATTATATTATATACGGTTCCTAAATTACATTTTGGAGATTGCGGCTACATAACGCCACCCATAAGTAGTAGCTCGAATGATATGCGATACACCTTGTATCAGGCATTCATTGCTCACGACGATTCTTCTCTCACATAAATGACAAGGTTGCGCAGGCTCTTTTCCCGCTTGTAGTCGATCAGGAATTGAACCGTTTGCTTGTCTGTGCGGCTGTACAGGATGCAGGTTCGAACTTCTAGACACGTCAAAACGACGAAAGCGAGCAAGAGAACCACGAGTAAAGGTGACTCATAAACGCTTAGAACAATGCTTAATGCCACTTCTTGGTAGTCTTGTCGCTTTGTACGACAAGCTGTGATAAGATATCAAAGGTCGTTGTTCGGGCGCTTTTGCTTTCTGGGCGTGCTGTACGTGTTGTGAGCAATTTAGCTAAGAAGATCAATTTTTTAGACTCGAAGTGCTATGGAGTTCGACAATCTTGACGAGCAGATTGAAAACTTACTCTATCAGGCCTTTGTTTAGCAAGGAACTCTTCTTCCACCATTTCTGCCAGCGATTGCGTAATTTCGATGGATCTTAGATAACCCCTTCTCAATACTCTTGCAAGGTGGTAGACATTTACTTTCATTGATCTTCGCTTCTATACTCAAAGAGAAGATACTGCTACTTTGGAATACTGAGTCGACTGCCTTACAAAAAAAGAACAATACCGTCAAAAGGCACGTCAGACTTTGACAACACAAAACAGCATTATAGACGGCAGTGCTTTGAAGCGCTGCGTACGCCATGTAATCGAAATTGTCATAAAACTGAGGTGATGCTTTTGTAAATGCATGCTCTGCACCTTTCGAATGACAAAGCAGCAAAACTGGCAGAACGCATCAAGTTGCACAGCAATGCTCGGGTATGCGGTCCACAAATAGCAGCATATCCTCTACTTTCAATTTTATCACAAAGAAACGGTAATAATACAACCAGTTGGAGGCAATAGTACGGAAAGAAATTGAGACTAACACAGCGTAGAAGTACAAACTCTTGAGAAGAAAATTGTAAGCAAAAGGTGGTTTGTTGTTAATAGGGAACGCGTAGGAGTGCAGCGTTAATGCCTTGGAAATTCTAAATGCGTCCGGCCTCATTACTTGACTTTGTTTCTCGGTTTTTATTCGTATTCTGTGCATCAGATCGGACTATACTATCCGCATTCCCGAATGCTTAATTCAGCGTTCAGGTCTTGCAGGTTGGTGAGAAAATGGGAAAGTAAAATGAACAATACAAAGCGACTTGTCACAAATAAAGTTCTTCCAAAGGGCGAACTTGACGGCATTAGATGTCTCATCTTAATATTGAAGATCTTGCAGGGTTGACGTGCTGTGCTCCTTAGCGCTACTTCCGAAATCTCACACCTTCCTATCGCGAGATCTTTTTCCGTCAATTTTGTGGCCACATCATATTAAAGTTGAAAGATGGATTGGTATCGGAAAACGAGAACGATCTCACAAATCTACAGATTAGAAAACGCAGGACTGCGCTTGCTAGAATGTTTTAGATACATTTCCGACGTGCGTGAACGCTGGCGCTGCGCCCTTGCCGGGTCTAGACCTAAAACATTAAGCGCCGGTCGGATTAAGCTAAAATTAGTACAAAGATCGATCCATGGAAAATTGTAGAAATCTTACCCTAGACTTGAGTTTTACCAAAATCAATTACATAGCAAACAAGTAAGCACGGAACTTGCTTTCCGTGTATATTGAACTAGCGGAATATGTCTCGGCGAATGTCATTATAGCTCGCAATAGGATCTGGACCTTTTTTTTATACGTTTGTACCTTTAAATTTGATGGTTCGCGTAGCGTGTAAATCAATTTCTACTATTTAAACTCTCTTTCCCACGCCATCATCACGCTTTTATACTTTGTAGTGATTTTTAAAGGACGCGAGATATTATTAACCCGTGCAACTAGATGGATGTGGGTGAACACATTCTTCTTTCTCTATAAATGTTTGGCAGAGGTCTGGAAAGGGCAAAAACTACTTCAAAATCTTTTTCATCGTCAGTGAAAGCTGCTTGTCTGGAATGTCGACAAAGAAAAGTGACTTGCAAGATTGGAGAAAGTGCTCGTGCTTGTCAAAGATGCGAACATTTTGGGTTGCAATGCAGATTTGAGCCAACAAATAAAAGAGGAAGAAAACATAAAAATCAATCAACAGGTTCATCAATGGATAAAAGGAATGAAATCATAAGTTCAGGAAATTCACCTTTACTTAAATTTTCATCTTCTTTCTCTCGAAATAGAGACGCAGACAAAGAACAAATGTCTAATAATGAATTCGTGAAATTTCAAGATATACTTGCAAAACCTTTTCGAAGTTCACTTTGGCGAATTTTGAAGAAATTTCAAGATGAAAATGGACATAGATTTATACCTATGTATTTTGGAGAAGGAAACAAAAAGAATGGTGCAACGCAGAATATAAATGTTAAATCATCTGAACATCCCATCTCAAGTAGGATTGGAGAATCACTTTATCATCCTACTTTAAGACAACATTTGTGTCCTCTGACAGGAGATAAACCTGTACTCGGTCGAATCGTAGCTGATTCACCACTTGTCGTACGTTTTGACATCTATCCTGATCCGCGAATTTTAGGAATAATCTCGTCAGCGAGGTGCGAAGAATTATTGTTATATTACGATTCATACTTACAACCGTGGGCAGGAGCAATCCCTTCTGCACAAGAATTATCATTACCTGGAACACGTTGAACTTCAACATTTCTGCTTTCAACGGTTTTATATCTTGCTTCGAGATTTAGCAATCCAATCATAAATTCACAAGAAGAGCAAGTGTTAGGAATGCATAAACGTTCACTTGCAATACGTGCATTTGGATGTGCAGATCAAAGTTTAGAAACATTAATTGCTCTTCATCTTCTGACCGTTTGGAAAGCTCTTGATGATGGTTATTCTCAATTGTATGTAGGATATGCAGATCAAATTGCAATCATATCTAGAACAGGTGGAAGCAATGGAAGCCCTTTATCAGAAAAAGAAGCAAGAGATATATTACGAATTCAATTATTTCATTACGTTCAAAGGAGTACATTTCGATTATTTCACGTTCCCTTACTGAACGAATCAATGGATCAAGATGATTTTGTTCTACCTTTTCCGATTTCTTCATCTCCTCCTCCGCCGCTTTTAGCTTTAGAAAGATTTGCAGCTGGAAATTCGACCTCAACATCAGATTGTCAACTTTGTGCAACTGTTGAGGGTCGTTCGATTCAAAGTAAATATAGAGATTTACTCGAAAAACATAAGCCAGGTCCATTTGGTAGATCACGTAATTTATCTGCTGGTTTTACATGTCAGTGCAGAATTAATATTCTAACAAAATGCTCAGAATCGCAGAAGGAAGATTCATGATGATCGCAACTTCGTGATTTCGATGCTGATACGTATGTGTGAGTATTGGTGAAGAGCATACTGTTCGGGTATAGAAGTACTTACATGAGATAAGGAATAGAACAGGGACGTGTAAAATATGATACATGAGATAGGCGATATAAGAAGTATTATTCTGTTCTACATAGAAAACTGTTATAGTGTGAGCAGGTGAAACAATCCCGATGGAAAAAAGCAGTATCTTCCCCATTCCTACACCGAACACCACCCTGTAAAATTTCTTTATCACAATCACGACAATATAATATACCATCGTTCAAAATGCAAGACTGATTTAGATCGGTAAAATCGGAGGAAGTGAATAAGTCGCACGATATTCTGTGTTTTTGCTTTATCTCTTTCGGCATATTTTCTGATTCAGCCAGATGGAGTATAACACTTGCTGCTTCTACCACTTGTCGCTTACGATGCTGAACATGCGTTTTACTTGAATATGGTTCTGTGCGGCTATATACAGGAACACCGTATTCGTTTACGTTCTCCTCTTCTGCTTTAATGCCTGAATGAATATCGTTTTCTATAAGAACAGAATGCTGTTCGTGAGAAAAACTTGCATAGTGGTTTCTATATTCCCTTGAGCGGAATGTTGGAGATGGTGGGATAAGTTTGATCGAGAGAGGTGGATATTTGTGGTGTCTAACATTTTTGACTTGATCTGTTTCTCGGCTTGCATACAGGTCGAAGATTTCACCAGCTTCTTCATCTTTGAAATTATATGAAAAAGACGATTCGTAAAATTTTGAGTCACAACTCTGATGTTCTTCCGTACGAGCCTGCTTGAGAATATCAGAGTATAATTGTTCGAGAACGATTTGCTTCCTCGTCTCTCTTTGAGCCATTATGTGATATCTTTTTATAGGACAAGGTAAATTACTCTCCGACATAAAATCTAGACTACCAAGTAGAAGTCTGTGTGATTTATCAGATCCATAAGAATAAAAATTGTCGATGATGATAATGACATGAATAAAGAAAGGGGGTTATCAATATCAGAACGTATACGAAGGATTAGATTTGATCTCCTGCTAAAACCAGAACCGAAAGGCCTTCGGGGATATACAGATCGCTATACCTATTTTTTCAAAACCGCCGCCACACAAATACATGCATTACCAAATAAAAATATAAATATTAGTTCACTGGAAAGAATGTTCTTGAAACTTATACTGCAGATCAATTTAGCGGTGTCTGAATTAAAACGCTGCGCAGAGCAAGCATTGTAAAATGATTCTTGGTATATTTAGCGTATGATTTGGTTTTAGTTTCGCAAACATGGCTTTATGGCCGGTCGTTGGCCGGGACATTCTTTGATTTGCCTGACAGACTTTTCTCGCGAGAAGTCAAGGTTATCCAAAATTTTCAAAGCATCATTCAAGAGTGCTTGCATTCCATTGGACATGCATTTCTTTGCGACCTATGGACTCCATCGTATTTCCATTTTTTCAGGTAAAAGCAAAGGAGATCATGCTATCAAATCACTTTAGAATGAACTGTGCAAAATAATGTTAGAATCTAAGACTATATCTTTATATATTTGTCAATTGGAATTGAATGACGCCTATATGGATGAAAAACTTGCTATAATATATATCTAGGCGCTAAAGGATTTCTCGATTGATTTCGTGTTTGTCTCCTTCTCTTTCCATACACTCACTTCTTTGATTAGGTCATCACCAACAAAGAAGAATAGATTACACTGGGTTTTTTAGAACAGTCTCTATATGCTCATAGTAGTATAGTAGAGTTGAAAAAAGGTGGACTCATATTCAATCAGTGGCGTAGCATTTAATGATACTCAAGTCAAGATGTCTTTGAGCCTATCCAGAATCGCTGCCAGATCTTCCTCAACACGTAAAGCTGGAAAAATTAAGGAGGCTTTATCAAGATCCGTTGCGGAATATTACGTTGTCGCCACACCTGTATCACATTAAAGTAAATGACCAAAGCAGCGACGAGACCGACGAAACCTGATCCGGAGAAGACAGTCGACGAAGACGCAGCTTACGAAGTCAGAGAATCTACACAGCTCGGCGCTGTTGATGTTTGATTCGCTCGTTTAGCAGACGATAACTTCCTTGAGGAGGAAATTGCATACATGGACTTTAGTTCAGTCTAAATCATTTCACCAAGGAAAAAAGAATGGAATGCCGACGAATGTTCCTTCTGGCGTAATAAATGTTTCGGTACAAGAACTCGTCGAAGGAAAGGTAGTTCGCGCTCTCGACAACCAGATCTTCTCAAATGCCTTGAACGTCCCATCTTGCACTCTTTAGAACTACTGAACGATCAAGTATGCGATTCGGCGTGTTCCGATACGTGTATTTCTTGTATTCGGCGTGTTGTGATACATGTTTACTTGTATTCGGCATGTTGTGATACGTGTATTCCTTGTGAGAAAGCAGATTTGTTTTCCTGAATTACCAGAGGGACGGCAAATTAATCTACACTTCACTTCATCGAGTACAGTGAGGTAGGCTTTTCCTCATAGAAGTTAGTGTTCCAAATTCTGTAGGTTTGATCACTATGTGTGTTTTCCCCAAGTGACAGTATGAACGCAAAAGTGCTGAATGGGAATAGTTTGTATACCGTGCAGGAAACATTACAAGACTGGCAGGAACGCACTCGACCCTACTTCTCACTGAATTGAGCCAGATTAATCACGGAAGATTACTCTTTCCCATCGCATTGTCCCACTTATTATCTTGATCTTTGAACAAGGAAGAAAAATGAATGTAAAATGCGTCACACCAAGGTAGAAAGAACAAAGGAGAGCTATTGTAGGCTAATTTGGGAATTAAGGATGTTCGAAGAGAGGTCCAATTCTGACCGCGTGGGACAAAGGGAAAAAAGCCGGAACAAAGGGGAAAAAGCCAGAACAAAGGGAATCATGATTTTTTTCCTCCGAGGAAAGTCTGGCAAGAATTGTCGAGAGAGACTGCGAGAACCGGAAGGTAGAATAAAGGTGCTTTGCGACAAGAAGCAAAATTTGTGGAGCAAAGCAAAGCATGCTTTTGTCTCATTGCAATCTAACAATAGAAAGGATTCGTCTATATAAAAAAAGTAAAGGTAAGCTGGTCAGGTATTTTTCTAATCCCATCCTCACTGTCATCCGAGCAAGAGGAAAGTTTCCTCAGTGTGGCTATTGAATCGTGTGCCTGACCCCAACTCATTGATCAAAAATGGATGTTTCGGAAAAGGAGACCGTGCATTCCAAAGATGAATCCTCTTGAAAACTTTGAAGCCGAAACAAGCAGCGAAAGTACGCAACATTCAGAAGAGGAACTTGCCGATAGTGATAAGAGGATTGCATTCCGACCTCACAGGCTAGGGTATGATCCTATGACATATGAATCGGAGTTGTCTCCTGAAAAAGTGTGGAAAGAACTAGAGGCAATCAGTTCAGAGTCAAAAAGGCAAAGCATGGAGAACTTCACCGGTAAATCCGACGAAGGTGACCATAAAACGTACTTAGATCCCATTTTGATTGTGTCCCCCAAAAGAGCCTATATATGATCTCAAGATTCTTATTGGTAGGTTACTTTCCGCATTTGCAAGACTTTCGCGAGCATCCTTCGGACAAACTTCCAAGATGGCATTATTAGAAGAGTCAGAAGCACGAGCTTTACTTTGTGAAAAGGAGCAACTCCAACACACTTTCTTTAGTACGCTTTCAGTTCCCGCTCAGAAATTTATTTCCGGGGTTCTCATGGGTAAACTTCAGCATTGTACGGGGGCCGAGCTGCGAGACCCTCGAGAGTCGCCAGTGCAAGACTCTGGAGGCACATATATTTGTGTGCTCTTGAACCAGAAACGCGATGTATCTGCTGTCTATGTCGGTAGATCCCAATCTTTACTGCACAGATTCAAAGGTCATTATGCAGGGATTGCGAAAGCTATATATTGCGATGAACATTAATCTGGCATCATTTGCTCAGGCTCGCAATCGAGGAACACAGCAGGTCAACCTCTCGATTTCCGGGAAAAGAGAAAGATGTCGGGGAGCTACTAATCGGCAGCTTACCCCTTTCTCGGCAAGGTCGCGCGATCATAGCTTTTCTAAATAATGGGGAACGCCTACCTTTACCTTTTGCCAATGATGTAAGAATGCTTTTCTCGAGGGTGAATGAGGAAAAAGAATTTGTAAGTTTATTTGGGATTTGATTACCTTGCCGTTGGTATAAAGCTCACCTCATTTACAATTCTTTCTGAAATTAGAGTTTGGTTCCAATCAACCATTGTGGAAAGGACCAGGCTTACCTCTAGATATGGCAGAATCTTTGAAAGGCGTTGGATCGATGATCTTCTAGACGTCACTGGGCAGATGGATTCAAGTCTTCGCTGACTTCCGTCTGTGAACTGAAGCGTCGAAGTTTACTAAGCTGGCAAGCAAAGCTGCATTAGAGGGGAAGCACAATTCCAGACAGACGCTCACGATGTATCCAAACTTGCAGAGCTAGTACGGAGAGTACACACTTATGGTCGTGACAGCCTGAGGATATTCATACCTATAAAAGTGGTGTCTAAATGGTTTCCAGAACTCAATTATCCCAGCGGACAACGAATATCTGTCAAAATTGAAGGGAAGACAGCAAGAACAGCAGACGAGGTCAAAATTTTAGTCAGACTTGATAGTAGTGATGTCGGTCAGAATCAAGGGATTTGGTATAATATTCTGAGTTATACCAGAAGTCAAAAACTCACAAAAGAGATGTGGAATTATATCCAGCGAAGGCAGAAAGCTAGCAATTAGTCTGTTTGAATATCTACGACCGATATCGTACAAATCATCAAGCCGATCCTCTTGTTCCTGTATTTACATTTTGGGTCATTCAGAACGGGACCGCTCCCTTTTCCTTTTTTTTTACTCAAGGCGGTGTATGTTGCTAATTGCTAGTCTTTTTCAAGACCTACATGTCATGCAACTGCATCGTAGTTCATCTTCTAGACTTATGGAAGCTACTCATGGAACATCTGGAAAAAATCGCGAGAATTTACTTGACCTTGTAATCATATTTCCGATTATCATATATACTTTTTTAAGATGATTTTTGGATGTGTAGCTTCAGATACTACTTTGCAGGCGAGACGAAATAAGATTTTCGAAAAAAAAGAGAAATAGTGTTTTGAACATTTATTTTGTTGGACTGGCGTGAAAGCGCACGCGTCCCCGCACAAGGGGAAATTTCCTTTCGGGGTTTGAGGAGATAGTTCACGAATTCGCATGGAAACATGGAGATATTCAGCTTAAGATGAAAAGTTGATAGGGAGCCTTATTTTACTCTATAGAAATTCTATAGAAATGGGAGATCAAGGGGTGAAGGCTACAATTTGTTGAACAATAACGTAAGCGAGGGAAAGCAAGTGCTACCAATGTTTTTGTGCGTCTTACTTGCTTCTATAGGATGTCTGTAGAGCGTGGAGAACGCTATAGTTCGATTCTTGGACACAAAGACACCGTGTCTTAGAAAACCATTCGCATCGGAAAAAATAATTTCGTACGCGTGGTTCAGCAATCGTTCGAAATTCCACATAAATCATATAAGCCAGCGGCTGTCAATGTCAATGTACGCTTTGTCGAAGACATGCGGTAGCGCGGGCTTATCATAACCAAAACCAAGTAGAATTTTCTCTCAAACCGGATTAGTGCACAGACGCATATGCTTGGGATGACAGAGGGTTAGAATTTTAGTTTATACCCATTGTGGATGTAAAAATGACCGGTAACACGAGAGTAATGCATTCTGAGCAAGTCAAACACATTACCCGAAGAATTGTTTTTGATGTTACAAGGTCTCCACTCAAGTTTGAAAATTGTGCACATCCTCAAGACCGAGCACGATATTGAAAGATCGAGAGAAGAATTTCTCAATCTTTCAATCGATGCCATATATCTATATCATTCCAGATCCCCATTTTTTTCAGCCTTTATTTCGCCATCTGAAGCTAATCCTGCCTTACACCAAAATGCATAAATGAAAATTGATCATCCGCTCAAGCCAAGCAAAGCCACCTGCAGGGACTTTGTTACTCACTGATTCACTCACTTTTCCTATAAGCGATTGAATTGATAAAAGAAGGGGTTAATTACTATTGTTGCTTACGTTAATGACTATTGTTGCTTACGTTGCACCGCTTTCAAAAGAGAAGAAAATATGAGTATAACCTTTTGCTTTTCACTATAGCTATCGAAAAAGTCGAAACACTTGGGCTCGAATCATCGCCACCACCACCACCAAAACTACAACAACAAACAGACAAAGATGGCCTGAATGCCCTTGCCAATTTTTCTACCGTTTCAGATACACCCTCATCATCATCTATGCATGCATTTTCATCCAAAATGGATGTCATTACAAATACTCGTCGTAATGATTTTTCAAATCACAATACCACCATCGAAGACATGTCCTTAGACGTTTCTCCCAATCTTTCACTCGAACAAAATTCATCTTCAGAGTCTCAAACGTAGTAACAAAACGAGCCGTAGGAACAATTGTAGTATACCAAAAATATCCAGTATTGTAACCTAATTGCTATGACTCCTTTTGGTCTTTAGGCTCCAAAATGTTTGCAGATTTATCTGAAACTCCTCATCATGAATAATTTGCTAAATAGTTACATTTGGATAACACGCACGTGACAGATTTCAGATTTCAGATTTCTAAGATGTAGTTATATAAAGACAAGTAAATTTTGCCTGTATAGTAGATTAATAAGATTGTTCCCAGTTCATGTTAGAATGTCGTCAATTTTTCTTTTCCAAGGCAACTGGATTGTGTGTATTGTTACTTGCAATATGTGAAGTATCCCTTTAGATGCGTGAATGGATTAGGTGAAAACCCACCTTCTTCATTCTCTTTGGTAAAAGATTGTCCTGAACATATCGCAAAAGATGCAAAAGTGATCGATCAAGAATGCAAAGAATCAAATTCTTGCTTCTTACAACATTCTTCTTGGACAACAAAAGAGCTGCTTCATTACATCGAAAGTTTAGGTATGCCAATGGATGTCTTGTACAAGCAAAAAGAGTACGAATCAAATATGGACTCTTTACATCAAATCGTTGGAGGGGAACAAGGTACGTTCACCGTTGGATTGTGGCTTGCTTTAGTAATGGCAACAAGGGCATAAGGATAAAATTTATACGTTTATACAAATAATAGAAGTTTTAATGAGTGTTGTTCTTGTTTGATTCATAGCCTGAATTCGTGCCAGAACCATGGTAGCCATTCTCAACGCCGGATTGAATCAAACCGCTCTTTTCGTTGTTTGAAAGGAGGGAACACTTGTCTTTGCTCTCGCCTTGGTCTTTCGATTTGTGATCAGCATCTTTTGAGCCACTGTTACCATCAGTATGCTTTTCGTTCGTGTTGTTCGTGTTTGACTTGTATCCAGAGTTTGTACCAGAAGCGTGGTATCCATTCTGTGTGCCTGATTGAACCAAGCCGCTCTTATCGTTGTTGGACAAGATTGATGTTTTGTTGCCTTGTTCATCAGACTTTTTTCCTGATTTCTCACTAGACTCTTTGGCTGACTTTTCAGATCCTTTATTGGATGCGTTTGTATTGTTTGTATTTGATTTGTATCCCGAATTTGTACCCGAGGCATGGTAACCATTAAAGCTGCCAGATTGAACTAAGCCGCTCTTATCGCTGTTAGATAAGATTGACGTACCCTTGCCTTGTTCATCAGACTTTTTGCCTGATTTTTCATTAGAATCTTTAGATGACTTTTCATCTTTGGATCCTTTGCTGCATGTGTTGGTATTGTTTGTGTTTGACTGATAGCCTGAATTTGTTCCAGAGGCGTGGTAGCCATTTTGTGTACCACTTTGAACCAAGCCACTCTTGCTGTTTCCTGAAAGGATAGAAATCAAAGCTTGATGTTGTTCTTCGCTGTCACCGTTAGAGCTTGATTTGCCTTGACCTTGGTTTTGTTCATTTTTGTTGTTTGTGTTGGATTGATAGCCTGAATTTGTTCCTGAAGCATGATAACCGTTGAAGCTACCTGATTGAAGTAAAGCACTTTTTTGATTATCGGATAAGATGGAAATGAGTGCTTCAGTATTACAAGGAGCTGAATGACTCTCGTCTAATCCAACAAAGACGAATGCTAACAAAGCAAGGAATGAGAGGGAGTAGCACTTCATATTGGTGTGAATGAGATTGATGGTGGAGAGAAAGTAAGGAACAGACTCAAAATGGAAAGTAGCACTATTGCAATGGTGATGTCTCAGGGTTCTTAGGTACATTGGTGCTGTCATATTTTCTTGTTTATTTCGTATTTGTCTCGCTTGAAAGGAATAGAAGAGCAAGTTATTTTTATTTTTAGCGTCGATCGTCTCGAACACCAAACCGAAATTCTGATGCATAAAGTTTATGCGCGCGAATGATTGACGGTGCGTTCCTTTGCCGTGGAAGCCGTTGAGCAAACATTTGCAAACGAGTGAAATTCACACGTCACTTCAACGTCGATCATTGCATCAGACTGGTGTTTCACCTTGGATCATGTATCAGCATCTTTACTATTTTATAAAATATATACAGTAAAGCTTAATGCCAGAAACTGTCTGACCTACGCAAAGGAATTGAATTACGTTCCTGATTAGTAGAGAGTCGACCGCCCACTTTTGGCGAACTGAAAGCAGAGTCTAATTCACTGGTACCTGCTGTGTGAGAGCGTTCGAAGCCGGTTTGCAGAGTACCCTCTTCGGCATTTTTATGAGGTGATGAGCTCTTTTCTGTGCCCTGTTCCTGTTCTTGCAACCCATATTCAGATGTGTTGAAATTTGGCAAAGGAATATGTTTAATGAAAATTGCCAAAAACAAACCGATTGCAGCAAAAGGTACTAACACGGAAAATGCAACTCGCAGTGATTGATCGAATGCGTTCCTGATATCAGTTTGTAGTTCGATCGGAGTAACAGAACCGATTGAAGTTGTTTTGCCAATTGCACTTGCTCCTGTGAATCCAGCTTCATATGCACCTGGAACCTTGTCCAATTCTTTATTTGCTTGAGCGCTAAAGGCGACCAAAGTGATTGAGACACCCCAAATTGCACCGAAAGAACGAACAAAAGCAAATGTTGCAGTTGCACGAGCAAGATAAGCCGGAGGTAAACTTGCTTGAATTGGAGGAAGTGCTAATGTATACATTGCTCCAATTCCTATCGATGCGATTAATTGGAAGATGACCCATTGATACGTTGGAGAGAAAGAGTTCAAATAGACAAACATTCCCAGTCCAACCAACATGAGAACTTGAGAACCAATAATTAAGGATTTGTAACGACCAGTGACTGCCATCAAGACTCCAGCAATAAATGCTGCTGGTGTAGAAGGGACATTTGCAGGCAGAACATTAATGGCAGCACGCAGTGGAGTTGCATCTCTTGTTTCAAAATAAAGGATAAGCGTTTGAATGGCTCCATACAACAGAATACCATGCAAAAATGTTAGGATGAAGGAAATTGAATTCGTCCTTAGTCCTTTTCCGAAAAACATTGCAGGATCCAAAACCGGTCTTGGTGCCAAGAACCATGAACGTAAGAATTTAAATGGTAGCCACTGCAGAGCAAAGAAGCCAATCAGTCCAATAATACCGCAAATCAACGGTGCTACCACTCTTCCATCATTCCATGCATACTCTTCACCACCTCTTGTCAATCCGATCAAGAGCGAAAGAGTTGAAGCAAATAAAATCAAGGCCGAAGTAGCATCACAATGTGCCCATTTCTCTCGCATTGTCAGCTTTGGTGGTGGTTTGAACTTGTTTGACGAAAGAACGAAGGCAAGAGCAACGACACCGATGGGGAAATTGATCAAGAAAGACCATCTCCAGCCAAGATAGCCTCCATGTGTAGCAAAAACACCTCCTACCAAAGGGGCAGCAATTGCAGCCACGGCAAAAGCCATAGAAAGCAAACCTAAGAAATAACCTCTTTCTGCCAATGTTGTCATATCTGACAGCATCACTTCACCAATCGCAAGCATTCCACCACCACCTACACCTTGTAAGCCTCTTCCAGCAACCATTGTTAACATTGATTTTGCAACGGTACAAGGAATTGAACCAGCAAGAAAAATGATCACAGAAGCCAAAAGGGTGCTTTGACGACCAAAAGCATCAGAAAGACCACCCCATAAAGGTTGAAAAGTCATCATCGCTAAAAGGAAAGCAGATGTGATCCAAGTCGGACTTATATCTGAAGGTGGCATATCACCTGCAATCGTTGGTAAGATTGGAGCAATGATTGTCATATCAGTTGCAGAAAGGAAACCTGTGATTGCAATTCCCATGAATGCTAACCAAAAATGACGATCCTTTGATCTCGATGCTTTTGCAACACCTTTTGCATGTTGATCGAGAAAGACGCCAACTTGATAAGCTGCTTCTCTCATATCGTTAATGTTCCCGTCGCCATTCATATTTGCTGCTTCTTGGCGTCTAAGTACATTACCAAATGGTGCTGTAACAATTCTGCCTCCACGAACAGGCTCTGAATTGATTCGATAGATAGTTTCTTCCTCTTCTTGGGTTGGGGATTGGATTCTGCTGAGTGCAGTAGGCGGTAAACGACTTCTACTTATACTCATACTTCCCCGTAAAGATTGATTTGGCGTTCTTTCATGATGAAATGGGATTTCGTTTGGGTTGGAGCGAATGGTCCATCTGCCCACGTCAAAAGAAGTTCCTAAGTCTTCTTCACCTCTTTGTCTTGACATTGGGAATGCTTCCTGTAAACGATTCTCTGCTTCTTCGTCTCTAGCGCTGACAAAAGATTCTTCAGACCTTCTGCGAGGTTCGATTGAAAAGCTTGGTCTGACAGAAACACTTGATTTTCTGTTTGTTTGATCTCCAGATCGGTCTGCACTTTGCGGCATTGCATATAAGGAAGGCACTTTTGATCCTGGCGTGCCTTCATTGCCAGCTGTCAAAGAAGCCATACGATTGCGTGCAACTTCATTGTACACATCTATTGATCTTCTCGGTAGAGGTTCTTGTCTGGGAGAAGGTGTCAAAAAATTTGTATCACGAAGAACGTCAAATGAATTTTGACGACTTGAATCTTTTGCTTTAGAAAGCTTTGTTGAGGAGGATTTTGTGCTCGAACTCATTTTGTAGTGTGATGGCTGTCAAAAAGAAGTCATACAGAAAAAAAAAATTGCGGAGAAGTAAAAAAGCTCAAAAATAATTCCAATGTTTCTCGAGCCCGCGGATAAGGTTTCAGATCACATGCTCAAATTGTTTGCATAAGATGCATTTACACCCTGTCATTCTTGGCGATCATTTGTATAATTATGGAGAATGATATGATTTTCGTTACATATGTCTGAATACATCATCCTTTATTGTTGATGTAAGCGTGATGCTTTGTATAGATAGAAACATTTTTTTGTTTTTGTTTGTTGTGTAATTGTTAGCGTATGATTTAGCGTTGAAAATTTCTTGATCGTCACTAAAGTATTTTCCCGTTACCATGTCGGCTTTTTGATTTATTTGTCCGGCAAACTGATTCGGCTGAAACATACGCTAAAATACTGCGCAAAATCTGGGTTTATTGGTCGCCATCAAAGGGTGCTGCTCGTGGATATGTCAACGTGAAGATCGAATGTTACTTAGTGTATTTGTATGGAACCTTATCTTGTGAAAAAAGTCAACAAAAATGACAAGACTAAGCGAAGTGGGGAGAAATAGTATTTCTTGAAAAATTATTCTATACAATTCCTTGATCTTATTGCAATCATCTTGAATTTATAGACAAAAGGGAAGTCAGAAAGCACAAATCAGAGCGTGACCTTCAAGGTGAAAACAAAAAAGAGCAACAAACTAGTCATGATTCGGTCGGAAGACGTTCGATGGGTGATCGACTTGATATATTTCGTGGTCGATTGAGTACAAGTATGAGAGAAGAAGGCATCGATCAAGCACAAAATGACACCGAACAAGGCAGAAGAAGTGGCGCACAAAGTCGCGCCGAAACAATTCGAGCTGCTTCGCCTTTGCCAAACTTTACCTTGCTTGATTTGCCCGGTGGTATGCTCTCCGGTCCTCTCAACGGTGAATTAGAATCAGGCAACTAAGAAGGCCATGATGAAGCTGCACAAGGTCGTAGATCGTTTAATATCTTTCGACCTAGCTTTGACCGTGGTGGAAATAGGGCAAGAGCAAGCAAAGATGGAAGATTAAATTCTACCCGTGTAGAACCATCAACTGCAAATAGATCAACAATCATTTCTCGAGCTGATGATGCTATTTATACGGACAAGCCACAAAATAGACCTGAAAGAGTCCAAAGGAAATCCACCTCCAAATCAGTCACTCCAAAAGGAGGATCATTGACGCCCAGCACACAACATGGACAAACAGTCACGCCATACACTCATGATGCTCAAAGCTTTGATGAAGAGTATGATGATGATCAAATTCGCAAGGCATCTAGAAAAGCATTGTGGAAAACCGACCTTGTCATCATGCCATTGATGGCGTTGGTTGTGATGTTGCAATATTTAGATAAGGCAATTTTTCTTATGCCGCTCTACTTGGTTTGGTGACAGATTTGAAAATCACCATGGGTCAATACAGCTTTGCAGCCTCAATTTACTACATTGGTATGATCTCAGGTTTACCTTTATGGACCTTTGTTCTTCAACGTGTTTCTGCTGATCTTTCTACCGGTGCAACCGTTACCTTGTGGGGAATGATAACAATGACACATGCCGCAACACACAATTATTCTGGCATTCTTGCCGTTCGATTCTTTTTGGGATTCTTGGAATCTTCCGTTACTCCTGCTTTGGTGTTGATCACTTCCATGTTCTACACACCAAGGGAAACGATTAGTAGAACGGCAATTTGGTATGCCTTCAACGGTGTTGCATTGATTCTTGGAGGTGGTTTATCCTATGGACTCTTATCTAATCCAAGTGTCATTAAATCCTCTTTGGCGATTTGGAGGCAATTATATTTGATCTTAGGTGGTATTACCATCTTTGTTGGATTGATGTTGTTGGCATTCATGCCCAATACACCTACCCGTTTACGATTGTATTCTCCCATCGAAAGAAAGGCAGTACTTGGTCGCTTGTTTACCCAACAACCGAAAGTGCAAGACAAAAATTCATCCGGCAAATTGGCCACAGTCAAGGAAAGCAACGATGAAAGCGGCGTTACGGTTGCACATACGCCTTATGTGAAAAAGACACGAAAGATTGCATGGTATCAATGGATCGAAGCAGTTTGTGATGTACGTCTCTATCTCTTCTTTTGTGGCCTTTTGGTTGGAAGCATTCCTAACGGAGGTGTAACAGCCTATAGTATTCAACTTCTTTCCGGCTTTGGATTCTCACAAGCAGAAACCTTGCTCGTTTCAATCGCTCCAGGAGGAGGTCAAATTGTGAGCGTGTTGCTATTCATCATCACAGCTTTGTTGACAAAGAGCCGAATCTTAGGGGCAAATTTGCTTTTGTTCATCGCAATTGCAGGTTCAACAATGATGTATGTCTCAACCACAGGCAGAACGGCAAAGACTGTTGGTTATGTTTTGCTCAACTTTGGCTCCCCAGCTGTGGTTGCCTTGTACTCTTTCATTGGCTCTGCCGTTTTGGGCCACGATAAAAGAGTCATTTTCACCATTGTCTCTCAATTGGCCTACGCTTTGGGCAACATCATCGGACCTTTAGTGTTCCTTGAAAGTGAAACATTGTTGAATTACCCGACGGCCAAAAAGGTGATCATTGGATCTTTAGCAGGTGCTGCTTTCACTTTGTTCTGTATTGGTATCATCCATGCCGCTTGGAACTACAAGCGAAACCTGAACAGAGATGATTCGGAGCTCGAACAACCACAAGGTCACAGTGGCCAATACTTATCCGACTTTAAACGTAGAGATTTCCGATATGTATATTAGGAAATCTGTGAAGACCACAACCAAAAGAAAATTGATTAGATGTGAAACTTTATATATTTACTGTGAATGAATTATTACAAGTAAAGACTAGTGAGATATCGAAACCATCTCTATAGGAAACCATGAATTTATGATGTATGAAACATTATATCTACTATAAAATAAAATCATTGCAATGGCGTAACACACAAGGGCATTTGCGTACCTTGAGATTCCATTCCACGAATTCTAGGTCTAGTGACAATGACTTGTTTAGAGTCGATCTTTGTTGTTCCTGGTGGAGGAGCAAAAGAGAATGCGGCCAACAGAGTTGAAAGGATTGCTTTGAATTCTGTCAAGGCAAACTTTTGACCAACACAATTTCTTGGACCAGCCAAAAAACTTAATGAATGACCTGGCACGCCAGATTGTAATACTTTGGAGGGTAAATTTTCCCATCTATCTGGACGAAATTGATCGGCATCAGGACCCCAAAGATCTTTTCTACGGTTATAAGTAGCAATATGAACGATGATCGCTTGTCCTTTACGAACTGGAATTTGATCGATCGTTTGACCGTGCTCTCCTTTGATTGGATACTTCAAAGGAATAATATCATCTTCGGCTGCTTCACGATTTGTGCTATGAACAGGTGGATTCAAGCGCATGACTTCATTTGTCACATTGTTTAGCATAGGTAGTGCATGTAATTCTTCATAACTCAAATCTTCCTTTCCTTCTTGTTCGTTGATTTGTTGTGCTTCCAAAATTTCTTTTCGCACACTTTCCTGTATTGATGGATGCATGGCCAATTCGTACAATACCCAAGTTAATGCTGTGCTTGTCGTTTCATGGCCCGCCAAGATAAGAGTTGTTAGCTGTCCCATGATTTCATGAGGCATCAGCCGCTGAGATTGCTTGACGGAAGAATCTTCATTTGCGCGTAGAACTCTCTCGAGAACGTCTTTTTCCGTTTCTGGAGGAGCAGTGCCTTCACGTCTTTCTTTCAACATTTTTTGTGCAACACTTTCGACGGCGTCGTAACATGCACGAGCACGTTTGTTGAAAGACGTCGGCAAAGGTCGAATACCGTCAAAGATGCTGAATTGCTCAAAATGCAGTTGTGCGCGTTCTAGGAGTGTCAATTGGCCTACGTGAGTCATCATCTTGTTGAAAGAATCTGCAATCACGTCACCATTTTCACCTCTTTGCAAAGAGTTCAACTTGTAGCTGAATGCACTTTCTCCAATGACATCTAAGGTCGTTCTGCTTGTCCAATGTAGAACGTCAACGATGGAGGGGACGGTAGCTTGATCGTTCATCTTCATCTTATCATCTAGAAGCTTGACATCGTTTTGATTGATTGTTTCGTCATTAATGTATGCAGGGGAAAGCTCGTGAGCCATAGATAAGCGTTCTTGTGTCTTATTTTGCATTTTTGCATTTCTTTCTTCTTCCATTGATGTTTGTAAATGTTTAGCAAGAGCACGAGAATGTCTCCAGAACAAAGGTAAGAAGTCACGAATGGCAGATTGTGTGAATGTTGGATTAACGATTTTACGTTGACGTTTGTGAACATCTCCTTCTGTTGTAAGAACACCTTCTCCCAGTAAATTGCTCAATGCTGATCTTGCTCCAGAAGGTTTAGGGAATGCATAACAGCGTTGGTGCAATACATACATTAACGCACGTGGATCTGAAAGCAATAATCGCTCATTTCCTGCTAATCCACGGTAAATCACTGCGCCTCCGAACTTTTCAGTCCATTCCATCTGAATATCTCCGGGGTTACCCTTTTGCATTTCTGTAGTAGGTTGGTAGATAGATCAGTAACTGCAATAAGATTTTTATACCATTCAGTCCTACTCACGAATCAAATTTCCCATAATCCATGACCATTTTCCCTGTGCTTTTGGTCTTTGCCAATTTTTAAACGTGGACATGAATGTCATTTGAAAAGCCAAATTTGACAAAGCCACAATCGAAACGGTTATAAAGCCTATTAACAAGAATGAAACGAGAGGTGATAATTGTAAATGATGAACAATGCCCTTATCTCCAAGACGGTTAGGAGACATGGAAAAAGTTGACATGGCAGTTCGATAGCCAGCAGCGAAATAACCGCTAAGGCTGTCAACTGCTGACATGGAATCCGGGGTGATGATTGATCGATTTGCACACATTGTTGATTAGATAGGATGTGCGTTTGGGTGGTTGCGATCAAAGAAGAGAATGTTTTCCGACTTATATAGTAACACTAACATTCAAAACGTTTCTTCCTATTCTGCACTTTTCACAAACAAACATTCTCCGCGCAAAAGATGTCAAAGTTTCGCAAACGTTTGCCGGTATTCGCATCATTGATGTTTTTCAAAACTCCGTACGGCATCAAGGACAAAACGGCATAATGACGTTTCACTGATTTGCGACGCATCAACTTAGAATTTCGATCTTTTCTTTTAGAAGGGGTTCATTCGAGAACCCTACAGATGATGAGAATGTGACAGTTTCGTTGTTCTTACTACAGTCAATTCAATCATGCATGATCGATGGGAATCAAGATTGTGATCTCCTCCACCCTAAAATTTCTTGCTGCAGTATAGACAAAGGTAAAGCAAAATCAGATGTTTTTAGATGCAGTTACATCTAAAGTCACATCTCCGCTTGCAACGTGCATTTCATGTCATTCAATCATCATTTTGCCAAGCGTAGGGTCTGAAAAGCTTTTTATGTGGGAAGACCATTCCTTTGTGTTATTACAAACATTGCACGAATAAAGTAGTCGTGCAGGCACACAAAGTGGCAAACAAACATTAGGGTGCGGAACATCAATGCCGATTGCATATGCAACGTGCTGCAAGATTACTTATATGAAGAGGTGGGAGCAGTACAGTCTAAATTTAGCAAGATTCCGCAGCAGTGGTACGGCGGACGGATATTGCCGGCAATAAAAATGGGTGTTATCTGCAATGCAGGCAATTGTCATGCATCGTCGCTTCATACATCTGCATATTCTCACAAACTTTAGTCTTAGAAACTTTTCATTGCTGTCATAAATTGTGAGGAAAGTACAAAAACACTACAAATCCATCTTGTCAAGAATCGAGCCGAATGCTTGTTCGTTCTTTTTACGTTGGACGCTTCCTTTTTGTGTGATAGAAATTGCAGGTGTTTCAGGTGTAGCAAAAATGATTGCTTCTGGTCGTAAAATGAGAGGATACTGTAATTTTTCCTCCGTTATGATTTCTGCTGCACGTTTTGCCATTTGTTTTTCTTCCTCTTGGGGATATGTGCAATCTTTCAATTGAACGACGGCTGACAATGCTTTACGTGCATGTCCTAAAACGGTAACAGCTTCAACGCGCTGTGCGTCACTTGAATCGCTAGTAAAGGAGTTTTGGAGGTCTGTGGTAGAAAATTGACTGCTTGAAGAGCCACTGGGGCTGAGAACTGGACTTTGTTCTTTGCTCGAAGATTGCGAAATCGGCTCACGCATCAATTCCATCAATCTGTCTTCAATTTCCAAGGCTCTACAAGCCGTTCCAACTGTTAAACGCAACCAATCATCCGTTCTTCCTCTGAATTCGTACAAAGGTGCATACGGTGTAAGACGTGCGAATGTATCGCATGTGTTCCAGGCTTGAATCGATTCATCTCCTGGATAAGCTTCAAATTTAAGTCCGTATTTCTGTAGACCAGGAAAATCTTCTGGTAACCAGAGTTCAAGAGTGTCATCTTTTGGATCACGTTGATAGAAGAGCATCTTGTGTGCCAGCTGGGGTCTGGGAGTCAAGTTGCAAAGATGCTTTGTGAGAGAGGGTTTAGCGAGGAAGCTATGATGATACAAATAAGTGTTAGCTTCTCATATAACGTCTTTTTTCTTTCTAGATACTCACAGCATACCTGCTTCGGTAGTTGCAAACACTTGCATCACTTCGAGATTTGCCTTTGCGAAAGTGTCAGCCATTTGACGACTAGCAGGAGCACCTCCTGTATGAGCGTCTTTTAAGCTTGACAAAGCTCTTTTCCAAGATTCATTTTCAGTTTGCAATCCTGTCAAAGTCATTCTTTCCAATCCTGTAGGAGAAGCGTACAAGGCGTCACCGTCTGCCATTGCGAGAGAATCAAGGATATCAGTTGCATTTGGAATGAGAACTTTTCCTCCTTTTCGTTCGTGTGAATGTGTGGATTGATCTTGATTTGCACGAATGACGGGGAAGATGAGAGCTGTTCCGCACATCAAAGCACGCCAAACGGGTTGTTGGAATGAGAAATGGAAGCAAAGACTTGTTTCCAGTTGTCTTCTCCATCGCTTTTCGTTTGGTAAAGCACACCAAAATTTAGCTGAATCAGTTGCACTTAGGTTTGCACTTTCCAACGAGACAGGGTATAGCTTTGGCACATTTGTTGAACCAAAGCTGTGCAATAAAACCAAAGGTGTGGGTGAAGATTGGAATTGCAGGGGCTGGATGTTTTCTTTTTGACTTCTGACACGATCCATCTGACACTCTGACACGATCCAAAAAGCCGGACAGAGTGCTTTTCTCTTCCGTTTGGAACCACTTGTGAGATGAAGAATTGCTGATCTCTTTCAAATGAGATTGACTTTTTTCTAACCGGTCCTGATCTAAGCCACCAGTGATGATCTTTTGACTTTGTGCTTTGTGTATCAAGGTAGCAATCACTTCATAAACATGTGCTAAACAGATGAATTGCGTAGTATAGCCCATACTCGCTAACGCCATCAAAATGCAAATGTTGTCATGTGTTGGGGCAATTAGCAAGGTAATTGTTCTTTTATCTCGTGCTTCATCTTCATTAAGCCCTGACACATCAATCTTTGATGCATTGCTAGGCAAAGAGAGTGTTTTGCACAACCATTCTTTTGCCAACTGAACAGAATCCTGGAGGGGAGATTCATGGTATTAGCACCATTCTACCTGTTGTTTCACCGTCTTTGCAACTCACTCTGAATTCGTTCCATTGTACGGTTTCCATAGATTTTGAAGCTGGCGTGCGGGGAAAAAGAAGAGCAGGAGAAGTTGGTGTATGCTTGCTCCAAAAGGAGATACCTTCTAGGAAGTTCTCAAGACATGGGGAATCAACCTGAAAAACATCATTTGAAAATGTTTGCTTGCCTTCTTGGGCAGATAATTCTTTAGCTGCCATTGTGATAATTGAATGAATAATGATGGTAGTTGGTTGGAAACATAACCTTATTTCATGTTTTGAAGATAGCACCCTACCTTCTCCACAAACAAAAAGAACGAGATTTTTGAAATTTTTAAGCTCACACATGCCTCTTTCTCGATCGCCTACATAACATTTCGAAGATCACTTCCCATGGAAATAATTCTGGGTGATTTGATTTCTTAGCGTGTTCGATCGCGGTCGTTTAGCTCGGAACAGCCGGACAATTTATTGTGCAATTAGAACACTGTTCCATTGCTTTGAAACCTAACTCCTGCCCTGACGCGTTTTTAGTTCTCGGTTAAATATTCTTTCTTTCTATACTTAGCAACGTTCGCTTCTTTGCCCGAGGCAAAAGGCCCTTCTTTATGTAAGTTGATTGATTGATTGATCGACCCTGCCGATTGGCTTTTGTTCTTGCATGTTCTTGATTTCGTACCTTTACCAGACTGCAATGTAATTAGGTGGAGCTCATCTGCTAAATATAGCGCAGCGTATTCATCCGGTTCCAGTCCGGCTCAAAAAACAAGATCAGGTGATATTCTCTGCAAACGTGCTTTCTCCGTGCTTATATTCTATAACGGATTAGACATTTGAGCTTCCGTCTTAACGGGGCTATTCCACTATACACAAATCAGTTCCGATCGTGGTGTATGGGGAATGAAGCTCAATCTGCCATTCTTACAAGGAGAACAGCGAATCCGAAGGGCGTACCGCTTTGTGTATGGTGTACGAATCGCACGGGCTTTTGTGTGATTTTAATTGCTCCAGGCGATTTCCATGATTCTTTTCTTAATGTATTCACCTCGCACAGTCAGGTCAGGGCGTAAATGTTTCGCTATCATCTGAACTTTGGAATCACAATCTTATTGCTCCTTGAACTTTTGCGTAGATGCTATTCCATTCATACGCCACCTAGATTGCCTTCGCCAGTCGAAATAGAATTGTTGACGTTCGACAATGATATGAGTCCATCTCTTTTTCCGACTCATTCAGAAGATAGGGAAGAAGAGCTATCTAAAGTACATCATTCTTCTACACCAGACGAGAAGATAGTCATATCAGAACCTAGAAATCCTAAAACAATCCTCAAAAGGGGAAAAAAAAAAGAAGGATCTCTAAAGAGGAATAGGAAGCGAAAATACTCCGATGAAGAGAGACTAATCAGAAAACGAGGAAGTAGAATACGATGGGAAGAGAACAAACGCAAAGAAGATCCTGACTACAATGCTAAACTGTATCGGATCAGGAAAGAGATTGAGCAGCTCCGCAAACTGACTGGTATTGAAATAAAAGGCAAAAACAGCTTCAGTAGAAGTGTTGAAGTGGTGGAACTTGTTATCCGTTTCCCAATTGTTTGTAAAGTTGTTTATGGCATTCAATTGGGTAAAAAATTCGTCCTGTGGTTCATTAATTATGTTTTCATTAGAACACTCCAACGTGGCTGGATCAATACCGATTGTCGAATCATTGAGTTCATGTGAAACTACTTTTACAAGAGCATCAAAGGAAGAAACTTGAGCCATATTTGCTCAGGGAACAAGTGTGATTCGTTAATATCGTGTATATCTCTCAGACGGAGCCGTCAAATTTGTTCATTTGTTCTTGATGGGTTCGAAGCAAAATTTGAGATGGTGATGAATGAAAAGAAATGTAACGATCGAATACAATTTCATTTTTTTCCTTGGGTTTTATATCGCTTGATTACATTTTCTTTGCATTGAGCGGAATAAGGTAGACGCACGCTTAAATTTTTGGTCTATTCTTTGACCCTATAAATAAAAAAGAATAAAACGGCGATTACTGTGAAGAAAAGGGGAATTCGTAAACATAGAGTTCATGTCAGTGGTGATAATACGGTTTTTTTGAGAATATCAAGCGACCTACTTTGTAAAACGCTTGCAAGCCAATAGCAAGCCAGGCCTCCACTTTTTGTACTTGATCGGAGGTTATACTATTTTTCTACCAGCATTCGGAGCAAAAAAGAAGACACCTATAAAATCAGAGGAGGATCAGACCTCTTACTTACGCAAAGTTTTTTAAAAACGCTTTCTCAATTGCTTTTACCGTGAATAAAATTCGCGAATTTTATCTAGTGCAGTGGCGCAGAGATCGATATGAAACTGTAACGGCGATGAAGGCGGAATGAAAATCCCTTTAGGAATAATTGATGTTTCTAAACAAAATTCACTACTCAAGCAGCCTAAACGAAATTTGTACTTCCTTCGGATATAAAGGTAAAGTGAAAACACCGTCTGTTCCCATTGATCGATCCATTTACATCGTGATCTATTAAATACAGGGCTTTGACTGCGCTTCGTCAGTGTGATTCAAGAGGTACACGAACATCGATCGGATCCTGCAAAATCTTTTCACAACAATCATTACAGTATACGCGCTAAAGTAGTCTATTGTTTTCTCGAATCCCCTTTGTGGCGCGAGGTCTTTGGTTACGAGGAATACTGCGACCTAGCTCATGAATGTCGGTTGATCCTTTTTTTTTTCTTATGAGACAATATTGCTGCATGATCGATATCAAACTTTGTGGGCCGCTCTGGGAGCGTGACCAAGTTTTATCTGCTATGTCCGAACGAATGGATCAAACTGAAATTTTGAGTGCCCCTTCCCAAATGCCGCATTCTTATCGAATGTATTTCCGCCCAGGTTCTCTGATCTCCAATCAATTCGACGATCATAGTCGGCAAAATCTGACATACTAAAACATCCAGCTGCTCATCATGCTATACTTTTGGTGATGCAAAAAGGAAACGGTAAAAGGGGCGCTTCTAAGGTTAGTGCTGAGGCATATCGCTTGGTGTATGTATTATTAGTTTGGTGTTCGATTGGTACCTCATATTCTGTCCGTACTGGCTTAATGCGTGCTGGTCGTGTGGATGGTAGGCGTGTGAGGCGAACCAAATCCTATAGTAGACACAGACGTTAGTGTTCTTGAACTTGATGAAAGTATTGCAATACTTGTTAATGTGATCGCTGTTTCCGAACCAAAACAGCCCGCTTGTGCAAGCATGGAAACAGCAAGAGTTGTCGGAAAACTACAAATTAGCTGATTCAAGCTTTCTAACTTCCAAATGGATACATCGTTCGGCGTAACTTTTGTAAAACATTCTCAATAGAACTTGTTTGTGAAGATGTAAGGCTGCCCAAGATGTAACAATACCCTCAAAAGTATCTGCGGAAGCTCTATTCAACATATGTGCCCCTCCTAAAAAAAGAGAATATGTTGCTGGTACTTTGACATATTCTAATTGACCTTGTATTTCGTATCCTTCTGCACCTTCAATTTCGCGATGAAGAAAAAGTGGTCAAACAAGTCAACATCCAAGCATTCAACATGATGCGTCCCTTTACTGCAACCTAAAACATTCATTAAACACTCAATTGACCAATGCCTTGCTTATTTGTAGGTCTAAAGGCTGTCCTAAAACATCAATAGGTTGCAAAACATAGAAAAGAATATTTGATTCGTTATCCCGGTATTTACTCGGCCAGGCACTTTTTTTGTGAGTACCGCAGCAGGCAAAATGAGGGACGGATCAAAATTATGACTGATTGGTGCATACGTCCTCGTAGAACCACTTTTGCTGGAATTTGCTATAATCAACAAGAAGAAGAATCGGGTCGGAAGTTCGCTAAGGAGGTTTTAATCTTAATTTGTAAGAATACAGAAGAATTCAAAAGTTAGCAAATAGTATAGTAGGATCCGATTTCTCTTAGACTGTTTACTCACTTTGCATAAACGTAGGATAAGCCGCCAGGACCGGATGTAAGTGTCAAAATATCTGTCTGAATATTGATCAATTGTATCGATTGTGCCGCAATGCTCTACAGGGGAAGTTCAACATGTAACTTTCCAAGCCTGGACTAATCGATTGCGAAGAAGAAAAAGGTGGAACCACATTTGGTATGCCACTTGCAATTAGATCGGTAAAGTATGAATTGCTTGCGCCAGGAATCGGTTGAATAAGTTGACGGAGCAATTGGACAGCCAGTGGACTGCCAATCGGTTGTCGCAATTTGACGAGGAAAGCAACACCTAAAGTACATCCTCTTGATTGAATTTTTATACCATTAACAATCGCTACTCCAATCTTGATATTATCAAAAAAAGAGGTAGTTGAGCCGAAGGAATTCGAGCGGTAACTATCGAAAAGTTCTGAATCGTGACAGTACCTCTGCTATAGCACGATCTTGCCCTCTTACTCAGTGTAAATCTCTACCTTTACTGAGCCAAAGAGGTTGTCGAGAGCAGTAAAAGTAAGTGGAAAATCCAAAAGAACATTTGACACAGTGATCTGACCGACTGCAAGAAGCACTTGAGCCTGAAGAGATCCAGTCATTTGCTGAGAATTATACTTTCTAGAGCTCTGCGATCTAATGCTCGAATGTAGGAATTGTGCCGGCTTAGGGTGAGTTAGGAATCGTATCGCTTCCGAGTGTTTGTTCTGCTCGTAAAGGTACGCCTTGAAGTTCAACAGTTGCTGCTTCTAGGCTATTTCTCTCTTTGGAGACCGCTGCAGTTCCAATTGCCATTTGTGGCAGAACATGAATAGGAATGGTACGAAGTATTCGACTAAGGTGATATTAGTGGACAAAATAAAATCATAAGTCGCTTTTTTTGAAGGGACCACAGCTGTTAGATCGGCTAATTCGACTGATGTTACGAATTTAAAAACATTTTCCTTTTACTTCAGCTTTTAAACGAATATCTTTCAGTGCATTTGTTAGCCAAGGGATTTGATTTCCGCTGAAGTCTTTAGCATTTTGCCCAACAATATCAATTTTGAAGGGTTGATTACTCATAATTAAACTAGCTACTTTCGCCTAAAGCCTCCCTTTGTAAATCGTATTTAATTTGGTATGCGTAACCTGGACACAAACACAGGATTGCAAAAAGCATTTCGCTTTACCCTTATCATCTTATTATTCTCATGATAGCTGTAAAACGGCCGAAGTGCTTCGATGAGTTTATTCTACTTATAATTCAAAAGCAGGATAAAGCTTTCCGGCTCTACCAGATTGGAAGAAATGTAGGCAAACTTGTAACTGCATAGTTACATCAATATAGGTAGTTAGCATATCTACTGAATATATACGTTCCGGTTGATGGGTATCAATATCGGATGAAGACCAAGGCACAGAAAGTGGGATTAGTCTGGTGAAAAATTTGCAGAACCAGTCAAAATCGGCTGTACCCATTTAAGCTGTTTGTTGAAATGGGTGTTCTTTAAGCTGTTTCTGCAACCCATTCTTTTTTTTCCTCGTTCAGCTTCAAGCTTTCTCCGTAATTGTTCGGGAACAACACCACTATTCTGTATCACTTCTGCTGCATTTCTCGCTTTTTCTTCTTTCTTTTCTACTCTTGATGCACTTCTGGAAAACCTTAACCCACATGCATTACATAAGCTTTTGTTTCCATCTGGACCTTTTCGTCATTCTGGACTTTTTGACGCTTTACAAACTAAACAAACTTTTCGTCGGTGATTCCGGAAAAGTATTAGGATGTGGACTAGAGCGATGAGTAGGATAATAAGATGGCGTAATTTGACCTTCGTTCGGACGTGGTCCAGATCTTGTTTGTATTGGCTGAAGCTATTATAGTTTGTCATCGTTCATTGGGAATCGAAAGGGATCTTGACTTGTGATCGTTTTGACACGTGCGCTTAAGCGTCTACCAGGTTCTCTCATTTCATCATCAACCATCATTCCTGTTGCGGGCATAATATTAAATGTCTGTGGTGTTTGTGAAGTGAAAGCACTTGGCGCAGCTGCCATGGAAGGGAAAGAAAAAATAGACTTTGAGAAAGTCAGGTCCGGTGGTGTTTGTGAGAAAGATGATTGCTTTTGTTGCTCTGGATTGGCGATGGTAGAAGGCTGCGACTGGTGATTTGGTGTAAGGACAGGGAATATTTGGTCGCCTCTTGAAGAGCTGTGTCCTGCTTCTTGGTTGATGTGTTCTGCTCTTGAAATTGAAAAGATGGCAAATTTTATATCGCCACGAGGAATGAGTGTTACTATAAACTCGATCGATACACCATCTGCAGTGATTTTACCTTCTATGATTTGTTGTCTAGTACAAGCGGTCACAAATTGATTCATACCTAAATTTTCTTCTCCAATTTTTGTTTCAATTGCTGAACGTGCCAGGTCGTCTGCGAAGTAGCTCCCATCATTATATGACTCTGTGCCTGAGCTGTCTGAATGATATGATGCTAAATCAAACAATCTAGGTGGCGGCCATGAAAATAAAATCTTGGATGATGTGGTGCCATTTGTTAAAATTTGGAAATGCTTCTGGGAAAGCCTGTTAGATGTCTTTGGATAGAACCGGATGAAGGTTCAATCAACCTTTTAGAAAAGACATGTTGCCACAGCGATTGACAGTGCTGATCGCTGAAAATATCCAAAGATGTATAACAACAATCGGACCATTGGGACTTTTCCCGTTGATCATCATGTATCGAGCGTTTTTCAACAGCATGAAAGAAGCATAACAGCATATCATCTCCAATAAGCTCTAGAGGAATGTCAGTTAATTGTTGATCACTTTTGAGTGATATAGCAAAAGTAGAAAAATCTGATCTGAGATCATCTTGAGTCGAGTGAACATACCTGCCCAAAGACGCGACACTTTTCATGTACATCGAAACACTGCACTCCCAATATTTTCTCCTAGAACGTACTGTAAAATTTTCAATCCGATCTCTGTTGCTTCATTTGGATGCATAAAATCCAAAATACTCGTACCAATCAAGGAATCAACGCTATAGCCTAGAGACTCCTCTAGTGTTGGATCGAAATGGAGGAAAGCAAAAGTTGCTACATCAAATCTATCTTGACCTTCCGAAAGTCTGGTTGATGCTAACGCCCAGACTTATACAGAAACAGAAACAAAGATAAGGGATTCGAAGTGAATGAATCGAGTCCGTATTTACTCACAGCATCGTACATCCTCAGAGGGAGTCTTCTGCTTGCTTTTGTGCTTTTCTGTAAGGTCAGCCTTTTCTTGATCGATGAAGCGTTTATCGAGCCAAAGCGGAAAAGGTGTTAGAATCTGACAATGAGGTTTGGCTTTGCTAAAATGAATCCGTTCTTGTTGTGCAGTTGATCGTTGTGTGTTTGTATGATTTGATTGTTGCATAATATCAAAACTGAAGATAGGCTCAAATACTGGGAAAGATGAAGGTGATATGAAAGCATCATCTTGTCGTGGACTTGGATCGTTGTTTGATCTTGGCGGTGGATCGATTAACAATAGGGCGGATCGTTGCCTTTGAAAATCGGAGTGTCTGGAACCCATTTGGGCAAAAGACAGGAAGAAGTATCTAAGGGATAAAGTCCTTCATTTCTTGGGATGATTATTAAAAGAAACGCCTTCCACAATCACGTATGGCGAAAGGTAGGGTTGCCAGATTTATTGGAACAAAGCAGGTGATATTAATAGGCGCGTGTCATTTTTCGCCTCATGCATTCGCTAGATAAGTTGTTTTCAACGAATAGTGATATATGAATATACTATTTCAACAAAGGTGAGGTATGTTCTTTGCTTCTTCAAAAGCGGTCCTGAATTTTGCAGATTGATCAAATAGAAGCGAATACGTGGCACTTGGAAAAGATGCACAAAATGTTGTCAAACGTGAATGAGATGAGAACAAAATTGAAAAGAAGTGGTAGAAATGCTTGAAACATGACGGATCGAAGCGATATTGGCTATAGATGAATGCTGAACGATATATCATCATCGATATATCATCATCGATATATCATCATCGATATATCATCATTGGATAAAAAGGGACGATGACCCAAGACGATACATAAAGTCAAACATGGCTACTTTTGTGCTAGTTTGTCTTTCGTATATCATGTCAGAGCCTTTTTCATGTATTCGATCTCTCTCTTTTTCCGAAAACACGAATTTGGTACACAGAAGGGACGACTCTCTCCAATTGAAATAAATGTGGAGTCCGTCACATAGTCATGCATGTTAATTCATTCACCAATTTTTTGAATTTTGGGTAGCTTATGTGCTTTGCTTTCTAGCCAAAGAAAAAAAGTCCTATCTACATGCGCTAGAAGACCTCCACCCCACTAAATTCTGGATGAGCGCGCAGTGGATCAACGGTGAGAGCAAAAATCTGTTGGAGACTGAGCACTGATCACCTAGCACGTGCAGGTGCTGAATGGGCGAAGTATTTGTTGTGCGAGCTGGCTGAGTATGCGTAAAGCTTTGACGGGGGGGGGGGGGTAGGGTTCAAGAAAAAATTTTGTTATATTACGCGCGAACACCGAGTAATTTTCATAGTTACACATGATTCACCAATTTGCAAAGATAACATATCTTATATGAACCGGCAAACGTCAATGAAACGAACACATCTAAATGAATCAGCCGTAGTAGGAGAAATGAATCGCAAAACTCACGGATGGAGATAGGACACAAATTCATATTATGAACAAAGACGCTGCATGATAATGAAGTACGATAGCTATTTCGTGAAAGCTCTCCCCCCTTTCTTCTTACCTAGCTGAATTTTCAAGCACATGAAGGAAAGATCGCGGCGTCAACCATAGCCGTCACGCTCTTCCTCTTCCGGCCCATTGTGGCTGATGCAATGCTACGACACTGTTTTGACGTTCAATTTTCTCTGATTGATCTTCCCTCACAACAACCACAGATTTCCCAGTATCATGATGCGCACAGTTGCCTGATAGCGCCTATAAAGTTTAGTCTTTCGCGCTTCAGGGACAAGCCTACATGCAATGTAACAAATTGTTCGATCTCAATAGGACTATACAGAAAAGTTTGATTTAACAATGCCTCGCCAGGTTATGCCATCACACTCCCTCGCCACGTTATGCGAGGACATACGAGTATTACTCATTTCGCCACGAGATATGCACATGATTTTTGCAGCAGCATTAGATGGGCGATAAGTTGGCTTAGCAGAGACCCAAATTGCTATCATAGAGGATCCATACAGGTTCACAAATTTGAGATGGCCTACTTCTATTAGCGGGAAGATAAAATTCATTATCTTTGAGATGATCTTCAACTCTTGTGGACAGCGCAGGATGACTCTTGAAATAGGAAAAAAAAGTTGAGCAAAAGGTGAGTTGTTATGGCAATGACTCGGAACCAAATCACCTCGCAGTCACATATGGTCTACCTAAACGAGCCTTTTCCTCAACCATAAGGGCGTGTTTCGTTTTTTCTTTGAAATGTGTTCGGTCAGCTTTGCAAATTTGCCATGTAGATACCTCTGTCGATATACAGCTTCAGAACATAGACTCTGCATCTTGATGCATACTTCAAGTGGCTGTCCCTCGGTGCAGGTTTAAAGCTTAGCGTGGCAGGGTTAGTGTTGAATCCTTTTGGCTAGACTTGCATATGCATGTAGAATAGAAAAGTTTAAAATTTTGCTGAAAGTATTGGGTGGAGAAGGAAGGGGTTTGCAGAATTTAAAACACTTCCCGATCTTTATTCAAATTCAGAGCTTCGGCTGATTCTGAAGAACGAGTACCGGATCTTCTTCATCTTCGCTTTCGTTTATACCATCAACTTTTCGACTATAACATTCTTTTCTTTCTTTTCTTTGTTGATGAGGTCGAAACAAACAGGTTCAACCATATAGCATTCTAGCCCTAGATGTTTCCCGAGAATGCAGCTCAAAGAAGTTTTCAGGCTTGTTTAGAGTAAGTGAGAACTTGATGGATGTTGCAAACCTATACATGACTTAAAGTATTTATTCTATGCCACAGATGTCGTAGATCCAAGTTAAAATGTGACGGTTTACAGCATGCCGATTTTCAATGTTCTCGTTGTACGACTCGAAATAAGGTCTGCATTTGGCCAGCACCCATACCTACTGCAATGACCCAGCAGAATGCACAACAACAGCAGCAGCAGCAGCAGCAGCAGCGGCAGCAGCAGCAACAACAACAACAACAACAACAGCAGCAGCAACAACAACAACAGCAGCAGCAGCAACAACAACAACACCAGCTACAACAGCAACAGCAACAACACTTCCAGCAGCAACAGCCGAATCCATATCGTCATCCATCCACCGCATCCACCTCGATTCCCAGAGATGCTTTAGCTAGTGAAGATCCGCTATCATCCACATCGTCCCAATTCCAACACAACTATCCACATTCCGATCATGAAACCCCACTCAATCCATCAAAGCGACCAAGGTTGGCAAATAGAAGAGCGAGAAGAATACAGAAACATCCGGTCAAACACAAATGTTTGACTTTTCCACATCAAATTCAGCACCTTTTGAATCACTGAGAAGTGTATCGCTATTATCGCCAGAAGAAGCAATCCTACAACATCGCTCACAAGCAAGCTTTGGGGATGGAATTAGAAATGCAAATGATCCTTCGCATCCAATCGGCTTGCACAATTTGGAAAGACAAGATGGCAATGCGGTAAACCAATGGGATGATTTCACAGAAATTCTAGGAAATGAAAAAGAAGGGGATAATGATGACAATTCGGAAGATTTTAGCATTTTAGAGCATAAGCAGAGTACGGATGAGCAAATAGATGCCCTGAAAGAGCGTATGGGATGGACACAAGAATGCCTACATGAAGCAAGCGTTGAGAGAAGAAACTTTTTTGCAGATGCAATTGCACCGGAACCAAGTGAAATCGATAAATTGGATCCTATACAAAGTGGTATTTTACAAAAAAAAAAAAAAAACGTTGAAAGATTGTTCGAATTATTTTACGAAACGATAAATGTTCAACATTGCCTATTAGATCAACGTGATGATTCATGGAAAAACATCCAGAGATCTTCAAGAAGTTTGTTTATTACCATTTGCGCGATAACGACAAGTATTGATGAGCAGAATGCAATCTCACGTCATTGTTCTCCAATCTTGCTAAGGAGTATGGATCACTGTACTTCGCTGCTACTGTCTTCAAATGCAAAAAGTACAGAGGTTGTAAAAACTTTACTTTTAACATTTTTATTCATGACAAAACCTGCTTTTGCTCGAGAGGATCGCTGTTGGACGCTTATCGATACAGCTGGAAGAATTGCAAGTGAATTAGGAATGGGTAAACGTCTTCGAACAATTCGATCCACGCTGGATGGTCAGTTGAAAGACGATCATGAACAGCGCAGTACGGAACGAGCATGGGCAACTGCAGTACTTTTACGACGTAGCTTAGGATCGTTGCATGGAATGGTGTCTGTGATCAATTTAGACGTTCAATGGAATCAATTAGACAAATGGGCGGAAGATGAACGTGCAACACCTGGCGATGCTCAACATTGTGCTTATCTAAATTTGCGCAGGATTGAGTTCTATACGCGGTCGCAACTACAGAAAATGGAAGAACATCGATTTTTATCCTTGGAAAGTATTCGTGTTAGCTTTAATACACTTTTTGAAAGCTGGCAACAACGTTATGTTCAACATTCTAAGCTGCAAGGACATTTCGTGCTCTAAAGTGTTTTAATGGTTGTCGGTTTGCATATTCAACTCCTGATCAATGTTACAGTCCTGCACACTTCAAAGATTTCAGATCAACCCATGTACATGGTCCCGGATTCACTGGAAGATCAATGCGCCAAGATGTCAATAGCGTTTTGGAAATCTTTCCTTGACAACTTTCAATATCGAGCTCATCAATTAGGGCGGAACATTGTTTCCATGGTCACTTGGAGCGTAATGATAATGCTACAGGTTCGTCTCAATGAAGTGCAAATCACGAATCACTTACTGACAGTTAACTTTTCCCCTTGTCCTCTCCAGCTGAGATATCGTGATCAGCGTTTATTAGCTACCCGTCTTGCAATTTTATTAGCCGGAAGCGGATCGGATCATTTGCATTCAAGTTCGTTTGCCCGTTTCAGCGGAAGGTGGCTATTGTCGCTAATTAATGATCTAGCAAAAGCTTCTAGCGAGAGGAAAGCAGGCAGCTTTGTTAAGATATAAAAGGTTTGATTACAATACCAATTATCGCTTTCCCAGCTTTCCGACTAATAATCTAGACGAATTTCAATCTGGCTCAGATGCCAATCAAACACTAAACGCCGGCAATCAAGCTCGATCAGAGAGAAACAGCGGTGCTGAGAGTCAGGCTCTACCTGCAGAAAGAAATATCAACCAAAATCTTCAGCCTGACACCAACGTGCCAATTTCTGGGAACAAGTCCCTAGCAGATTCGACAGGTAAGCTCAAAAACTCTACTTTAAAATCTGCATGTCATACTTACTCTATATCTCTTCTACAGAAAACATTCTATCAAGTATGTCTGGACATATGACAACCGATCCATTCAACGAAACATGGCTAAACTCATTTTTGGACAGCTTAGTGCCTCCTTCCTTGACACCATCAAATGATTAAAGTGGCTCAACAAGTGTATCAAATTTCAATTCGAGTGTAAATGAGAATGGTGATCAGACCTCCATGCAACTTCCTTTTGAACCTGATCCTGAAATGAATATTCTCAATCAACAACCTTAGTGCATTTCATCATGTAATACAGAATCTCATTTGGTGTATTGTAACATAATCTTTGCTTTATCTCCTTTGGACAGCAGTGCGGGTGATTGATTATTCTCTTTCTTACTATTCGCCTTCATATTTTGCTTTGCATTTATCGTTAGTGGATTCTCTATCGGATAAACGGATGCCAAGGTACCTTTCATTTCATCGCTTCTTGTAGAATCTGTTGGCGAAATGAGCCCAATATCCTGATAATGCTCCACACACAAATCTCCCCAGCTCAAAGGAAGTGCTAGAATAGTGTCTAGAGTCACCAATCCATCCTGAACAGCTTCCCATAACAGTCTTGATCTTATCCTTTCGCTTTCCATTTCCAGTGAGCGCGGTGGTTGAAGTGCCTCTTGTCGTGCTAAGTGATGAGGAGGTGCAAAGAGTTTATTAGGGGTGTACGGAACAAAGCCTTCCCTTATACCGTCATTTGAGCTATCTTGCACTTCATTCATTGTATCTGATGGAGAAACGCAACCTCTTGCGCAAAAGGGCTTCCCGGGCTTGCCAGGTTTCTTCGCCTGTACTTCTGCATCCCACCATTGTCTAAGCGCTTTATGACGTCTACTCTGAGCAGAGTTTTGATATGTTGATAAACTACTTTGCGATGTAGCTGTATTTTGATCAGTAATGGCTTTTGGCGTGATTCTCTTTGATTGCAAAGCTTCAAAAGCGGGCATTTGCCGCTCTTGCATCTTTCTCGTACCTAACTTGTCATTATAAACCCCCACAGGAATAAGTTGAATACCCTTTGTAAGAGCTTTAGAGGAATATTTTGTTTGAGATGATGAAGGTGATTTTGTGAGTGAACCAGATTGAATTTGAGAAGAGATACTGCCATTGAAAGTGCTGGATGAATTGTTCTTCTTTAGTTGCGCCCGATAGCTTGCTGTGATGAAGCTATACTGCCCGTTCGGAAGCGAAGGTTGAACTTCAAAGCCATCGCTAGACACTTCAGAAGAATTTAATGAAGAAGAACTAGAACTACCTCTTCTATCTATCTTTGTCGGTGGGAATAGAGGCGGTCCCATCAAACCTAAGTTTGCACTCTTTGTCTTTTCATTTAATTGGTCAAGTTTGTCTGATGTCTGATTCTCTTCTGCCTCTTCCGGCACTGTATCTAGCAGCATGCTTCCCGATCTTGCATTTCCGTGATTGATCATTGTTTACGTCGGGCAGAATATGAAATTAGCAGGCCTTAGACCCATTGCTAAACATATCGAAAGTCTCTGTGTCTCCTGAAGATCATTAGGCCATGACGCTTTTAAGTATGTTTTGACAAATTCATGACGATAAGAAACTCTTATTTTATGGTCAGTATTCTCATTAGAGTATTTTAGCTTAGATATGTCACTTTGATGCCGCACGGACCGAACCTTGTTCACATCAGCTCGGTCTCAGGTATAAGACGGGCTGTCTATAAGATCACACGCATTGTTCACTGTTCACCTGCGGAACATATAACTCGGCATCTCTGGATCTTGGCTATCGATTTCGACAATCTTTCACGCTGTTTCGACGAATGTAGTCACTATAGAAATGCAGGACAGAATTAAACATCAAAGAAAGAAATTATCCGATTTGCCTCTACGAATATGGTATTGCATTTGCAGCTAAATGAACAAATTAAAACTTGCAACTCAGCAGGGTATCTTTTAGTCGAAGTGGAATTCATAGCGCAGCGCTCGGACCGACCAAATGAAACAAACCATGGGAACGGTAAGGTGTCTACACCAAAAGGGACACTAGATATCAGCTAGGAACGTTTAATAAAATCATATTCAAGAAGCTTAACAACTCATCACATTGCGGAAACCAGAAAAGATACAGGAACGGCAAAATTCGAAATAGAAAGGATGCGGATGTTTCACTATACAGAAGCTAAAGTAGAGTAGTTCTAAATTTGTTGCTCATGTTCACTTGATTTTTCATGGGAAGATCCCGAAATGGTATTTTGACCATCGCGCGAATTGTAAACGTAAAGAGGACGATTTTGACTAGAGTTACGCGATTTATTCTTTTTGCCCAAGAGTGACTTTCCCAAGAAAGCAAGTAATAATGCGATTACAACGACTGCCAAAGTGACCATTGCTCCGATTACACCTGCCACAACGGGAGAGACTCTGTGACGACCCATCGTACTATCTATACTTGCATAGCCTGCACCACCGATACCATTCAAAGCAGCAAGAGCCCTAACCCATCTGCTGCTTGAACATACGCAGCAACAGATGTCACGAGACTATCTATCCCAGTGGTCTGATAAAGTGCTTCTTGTCTTGGAAGGTGGACGCGCGTGGTCATCTTGAAAATGATCTGGTTGGAGGAGATGACGATCAGGGTGCTTTGAACAAAAATTATCTCTTAATATCGCAAATCTCTAAGTGAGTGTGTTGCTGTGAGACTGAACCTTACTTCGCAATCTGAAATGGAGAGTGCGGCACAAAGAATATCTAAACCCGATGTTTTTGCACAAAGGGATATTATGGAAAAGACACATCGCGTTCGTGTTTTCTCAGCTTGTCTTGTTCAAAGACAATACCCTTTCCGGAACAAAGGGAGAGTATTGCCCACGCAAGGGCACGAAGAACTCGTGCTAAGCGTGTCAATTCAATGGCTGCTCAGTTTTGCATTTGGCTCTATCTATTTCAACCTTGTTTGCATTGACAAAGGGGGCCAGCTGTGAGAAATTACGAAAAGTCCTGTGCAGAGTCCTAGACCTGAGAGCTGGCAGCGCATTCGAGCTTTACAAGTATTTTACATTTGCCGAAATTAGACATGTCAATTGCTAATCCGAGCACCGTTCTGACAATCTAATTGACTTTAAGAGTAAGGTCGTGCGGAATGGCAGCTCCCTTGGTTTCCAAAATTCACAGTATGAAGAAATACAATTTTAAGACCCCGCTGAAAAAGATAGTGGAGGGCAAAGCAGTTTCAAGACGCACTTGTACAATATCATGCCCAGTTGGGAGGACCTGATGCTCTTCTTGCCAAGACAGGGGTAGCGGCGAAATCGACGTATCTATCACAAAGCTAATCATTGTGTCCATCCAACCTCTAATCATGTCACACCTATCAGAACTCTAATCAAACAAGCGCCGATACTCTTCGCTACACAATATATGAACAAAACAAAGCAGATGTTAGAATTCATAAACTATAAAAAGACCTGGCTTTGAATTAGACAAATTTGGATGTAAAAAACAGAATCCTTGCTCAGATGGACAGTAAAAAGTTTCGTCTCATTTCTTGCATAGGCGAGGGTGCTTTTGGGATAGTGTACCAAGCAATCAACCTCCAGACAAATAACGTGAGTAATCTTTCACATTGAAGGTTTCTTTCTGTCTCATTTTCTTTTCAATCTTTAGAAAGTTGCAGTCAAATGCATCAAAACAAATCAAGCACTTGGTGCTCTGGAAAATATGAAACGGGAAGCAAACATTCACTCAAAGCTAGAACATGTGAATATTGTCGCATTCAAGAGTTTTGTACTCCAGAACAACTATTTACAATTGGAGTTAGAATTATGCGAGCAAGGCACTTTATGTGATTTCCTCTTTTGCAAACAAAATATGTGAGTGATGTAGTGATAAAAATAATTGGGCAATTGAATTGAGGCTTTTTCTCTTGATTAAGCGATCCTACCATTAGAAACAATATTTGCGCCCAACTTTGTTCGGCTGTCCACTATCTTCATGAAGGCGCTTTAGCAAATGACGCTGTGATTCATCGGGACATCAAACTAGAGAATGGTAAGGAAAAATCTTCCAGCGTATTATACGCAGCCTCTTTGACCTTCTTTTCTTTCATGCAGTTCTAATCTCGCGGGGAATGCAGATAAAACTTGGTGATTTTGGACTTGCTATCTCAAAGCCCCGTGATAATGTTGGTAGATGGGGAATAGCTGGAGTGAGTCTTATATGGATTTTTAGAACCGATAGTCTATTGTGGTTGACGATTATTCTTTTCCCCTCCCCGATGTAACTTTCTAGACAAAAGATTATATGTCGCCTGTGCGTATCTTTCCGAGTCTTTCTAATGTTGCCCATCACTCTAATTTTTCTTTCAAAAATTCCAGGAGATGATTCGTGGTCTCAAGTATGGAAAAAAAACAGACTTGTGGTCACTTGGTATCTTACTTTACGAGATCTGGACGTGGCGGTAAGCACTTTCAGAAAGACTTTGAATACAAGGGAAATTCTCAACTTTTTGTCTTTACAATTTTACAGTATTTTTCAAGGGTCTGAAGGCATAACACTTGAAAGATCGATTGCCATTATGCTTTCTCAGCCTTTGAGCAAAGATGTAACTCAGGTGCTGGCGCTATTTCTGCAAATAGACGTGAGTATTAGAATTCTGTTTTCACGCTTCACGCTTTCTGCTTACATTCTACCTATTCTCCTTCATCGAAAAGCCTATTTCACGACGCGAGGCAAGTACGCCCTTGGCATTTTCATGGATGTTGGAAGCTTTGATGAACAATCATAGTTGGTGAGTATGTCGAAGGTCATTAGTGAGCACACCGCTGACCTGTACGTCTATGTATTAAGTCACACAAAGCTTTTATCAGACCTTGAAGACGAAAGAAGCGATATGTCTTTTCAATCAGCAAAGAGTGAAAACGATTCAGAACTCATGTGAGTGTAATCGAAAGACTTTATATGTTTTTTAGAAAAGGGGTGCTAATACTATCCTGCTGGCTTTTAAAAAGATTTCCTGAATTCAAATTTCTAGTCAAGCATTGAATAACCTGAAGAATGGTGCGCAAGGCTTGTGTTTGGATGAAACAAGGCTGCAAAAGGCTTGGCTATTACTATCAATGTGCGAACAGACGGCATCGAAGACTTGACGTCAACTTGTGTTACACTTCGGACACTGTACAAAAAA